TGGAAGGAAGCTTGTTCACTGCTTGCCCCGATCACAAACATAATGGCAATCACACATCCCCATTACCACCGGACCCCAATCACAGCTGGCACACCAGCCCTGGGGCAGCCTAGCGACTTCCACATTATTCCGGTGGCCCGGTATTCAAAGCTTCACGCTCCTTTCCCTCCCCCCACAACAGACTGGCGCTGCTGCAGAAGTAGACGGCCCTGCCCCATTTACCGATGCGTACCCCGCCATCTATCCCTTGGATATCAAGGCTCTGCGTAACCGTGAAGCAACCGCTGTCTCCCGGCTGCAGGAACGAGAACAGCGCAGAGGCAAAGGTGTGACAAAGGAAGCACAAGATCTGTTCGACGCCTTCAGTCGCACTATGCCTGCCCGCTGGGACGGGGCAAGTATCGTAGTTGCGGATACTGTTGTCATTTCCAAGCCATATCGTGTGGAAGATTGCCGCTCCTTGATGCCTGAAAATGGCGGCGTGAGTGCGGCTCTTATCCGAGTCCGAAAAGTGGTGCGTATATGTGGCATTGATGTAGATCCGCGTCTTGGTATATGCTAATTCTGTCTTCGGCTTCAGCTGGAAATGGAACGAAAGAAGATTGAATTGCGAAACGCTTTTCCCGACCCTCCGCGGGCCGCCGACTCTAACCCAAATGCTAGCTGTCCTGGCGGTGCGTCCGCGAGCACTCCCAGAGACCGTGACCGAGACCTACGAGCAGCGGCCGTAGCAGTGCCAAGAAGTAATCCCCGTTCATCCCCTCAGTCAAACGCGCCAGCCAGTGGTCAGAGGAAGGGCGGTTAAAAGGACCCGATGATCCAGTTGCAAGTAACGGTAATTTAGGGGGTAATTGTTACGATTGTGACGTGGTTCATCCGCATCGTCATATACCTTTTGGGGCGCTGGAATGATAGCGGTGTTCGGAACGCTGATATTTCTGATCTGGACCATGACAATAGGAGAAGAGGGCCAAAATATGACAATATCAAACAGAAAGGCGAAAGGCGAAAAGCTGTTTGAAATGTATTTTAGCTTCTTACGGTCCTCATAGCTACCGCTTTATTCTACCGTTAACTCTATCTTATCGAGCAACTCATACGGACAGAGGGATTAGAGAGATGCTTCAACTTTGGGTCAACGGAGCAATTGCTAGTCTCGGTCAGATCGTATTCAATCACCTCTGTTTGGGATATATTGCAGTTTACAAACCGGATTCGGTGGGTGCAATGGCATCGTCACAGGCATTTAGTAGGAGATTTCTGTGATTTTACAATGTAGCCAAAACGAGCCAATCTGCGCGGCTGGAACCTTTTGTTGTCAATATTTGATGGATATTGTTCGACGTCACGCTTTGTCTTGATCGAGGCCGAGACCACTTGACCTCCTGTTCTCATCTCATGTGCAGCCAGACGGTCAAAGATCAACAAACGTCCTCCTTCAGCAAACAACGTCTTTTGCTCCATTTCAGGAACTATTTGTTCATTAAATCCTAGCTGGATTAACAGAAAATCACTAATAAGCAGCCCAGTCCAACAAGATGCCAAGCCTGCTTTGACCGCAGCCCCCTAGTTCCTTCACCAGCGATGGGCGTTGATCCACCTCAAACCCAACCCTGGAGAAGCGAGGAGTCGGCCCCGGGTACCTGTCACCAAACATCTTCGACTCGCTCTTCGTCTTCCCGTGATCGTCCCTTCGAATCCAGACAACCCGGGCCTGAATGCGAGGAGGCCTTGGGAATCGAGCAAGACGGCGGAGGAGCACGAGACGGCAAATCCGAAGCTGTTGGTGCTACTGCGACGACGACGGTAGCATCCGGGCCAGAGGCAGACACGGCTGAAAGGGTGTTGTTTCTGGCAAAGGATAGTGACGAGGGAAGCTGTTCGGAGATGGATTATGCAGCGGGTTCGGGCGAGGACTTCAACGATGACGAGGAAGCGGGCCTTACGACGCAGCAGAGGAAGAAGAGAGGTTTGATGCGGAAGAAAAGGCGGGACGATGGCGAGGGGCTGGATGTTTCGCTCTCGGTTGCGCAGAAGCATCTAGCGGATAAGCATGTAATGAGGAGGCTGTCGGTTAACGTGATGTTTATCCTGCTGTGGTATCTATTTTCGGTGTCGATATCGCTGGTGAGATTCCAATTGCGCTTTTTTTTCCTCCTCTGGTGAATGATTCAATGGCTGACGGTAATTTTAAATCAGTATAATAATTGGATGTTTGATCCAAACCACCTCGATTTTTCCTATCCCCTGTTTACGACGAGCATTCACATGGCGGTCCAGTTCTCGCTTGCGTCGTTTTTGCTCTACTTCTTCCCTAAATTGCGGCCGCGCAACCCTGCTGCTCCGCAAGCAGCACCGTCAATGACCGGAAATGCGCCGAATACTAGTCCAGTCGTGACCAAAGCTTTCTATTTTACTCGGCTGGTTCCATGCGGCACTGCTACATCGCTGGATATTGGACTGGGGAATATGTCCCTGAAATTTATCTCCCTCACATTCTTGACGATGTGTAAATCGTCTACGCTGGGATTCGTCCTTCTTTTCGCGCTCATTCTCGGCCTCGAGGCCCCATCTATGAAACTAATAATGATTATCTGCACAATGACCGTGGGAGTGGTCATGATGGTTGCTGACGAGGCGACCTTTAATGTCATTGGGTTCTCCCTGATCATTGCGTCCGCCTTTTTCTCCGGGTTTCGATGGGCGCTCACCCAGCTCTTGCTCCTTCGACACCCAGCGACCGCAAATCCATTTTCCACGCTCTTCTTCCTTACTCCAATCATGTTTGTTTCTCTAGTCATCCTTGCATTATTGATCGAAGGGCCTTTTGAGATTATAGCAGGCTTGGGACTTCTTGCTGAGCGGTTTGGAGTCTTGCGTGCAGCAGCGGTGCTCATCTTCCCTGGAACTCTTGCATTCTGCATGATTGCATCTGAATTCGCACTTCTACGGCGCTCTTCAGTAGTGACGCTGAGTATCTGTGGCATCTTCAAGGAAGTGATCACAATCGCAGCCGCAGGGATTCTATACGATGACCGTTTGACCTTGATCAACTTGGCCGGTCTCGTGGTCACTACGTGCTGCATCGCAACGTACAATTACATGAAGATTACGAAGATGAGAAAAGAAGCGCAGAAGGATCTAGTTGAGCATCCAAGTGAGATGGATCGCGAGTCCGATGAGGATGAGACCGCGCATCGGGATATCCTCGACGGTCAGGGATCCGGACTTCTTAGGCCGACAGCTGGCAGTAGAGAAAGCAGTCCATATGCACCTTCATCGTCGAGATCGCGGCGAGGGTGAACTTTTAGCTTCTTGGGATGTAATGCATAGAATGCCCATTTTTGATACATTAGAGATCCCTAGCTGGTGCTCATGGCGCCGCTTTTTGGTAGCTTGCCTGTCTCCTTGGGATTTTTGTTTTGCTGAGATTGTTTATCAAGTGCTGGGAACGGGGCGTTGAGATAAACTAGGAGTTTTTGTTCAAGGCTTTCAACTACTTCAAACATGCACTGTCATTTCTCCCGACCGCTAACTAGTAATATTTGGTCAGTTTTATTTGGGATTCCAGTGCTGCCCTTGTTCCTGGCTAAGTGCTCTCTTATCTTCAGGGACGGATCACTCTGTCTGTTATATACTTATAGATACCCGCTGTCAACACGAGTTTCCCTTTATAGTTTGTCTTGAGAGGTTCGTTTCCGATCCCAGAGAGTCTGCACGCCTATCTTGCTTCATCTGATAACGGCGTCGAGAGGTCTGGGTGGCGTCTAGCCGGGTCGCTATGCGTCCCATTGGAGGATGTTTCCGTTTCCGTGATGGATTTATTTAGAATCTTGTTAGCAGCAATGCCGAAGATCGAGGATCCGGCGCAGAGATGTGCTCTCGCCTCTCCACGTACTACCCATCAGTTAGACAGCGGCATGGCTGCAAAGGGCGTCGGAGGTTTAGGCACGATTGCTAAATTGATTCCATTCATAGATCTGACTCGTTTGCTACCGACCTTTGACAGCTTTTGATATCCGGAATACCTCCATCAGGCAAGTCCACGCAGACTTTTAAGAATGACTATAAGTTGCGGCAGCAGGGATGCGATTCCAGAAGGTGATTCCAGCATCCAACAGGGGTTCGACGGGCAATTATTCAGCAGCCAACAGAACGCTCTCCGCCGGCCGCCAGCGATCAGTCATCCTATCCCCGAAGCTCTATGTGGCGGTTGTCTGTCGGATTTCGGGGTCTGCTACGAAAAGCCGCCGAGCATCTGTCTAGCACGAGCTGCATCGCCAAAGTGCAACCTTGAAGCCACTCAAGCGCGACGCCGTCCAGCAATGACGACATGCCGGGTGTAGAATCCTTGTCAGCGGGATTCTCTCGTTCGAGAACTGTTGTCTGAAAATAGCATGTCTTGCAGCACATTGTGCCTCACGATGTTTTTGTGACCACGGTCGACCTGTTTTGCTGTGCAAGTACGGATCAGTTAGTCACTTTATCTTGCCTCTCTCTCTCTTTCCGCCGAGAGTCCAGATGAATAATTCGGTGCCGTTTATGCGACCTGAGGAGAATCTTCTCGGCAACCAGCAAGCAGTTGGTATCATTTAAGAAGGATGGCTGGACCCCTCGCGACACGATTTGGAATGACGTTCGATACCATTATATTTACCCTATCGGGGCTATTTCTTTTTAACATTGGGTGGACATTTCCTTAGCAATGCGCGAGAGTAAGCCGGTTCACCGTGTATCTGTCGCTTGCACCGAGTGCCGTTCACGACATATGAAGTGTGACGCGCAGCTGCCAGTGTGCTCCCGCTGCGGGTTGGAGAATAAACAGTGCACCTATCCCAAGTCTCGGCGTGGCGGTCGACGTCGCCCAGCTGCCTGCTCGGCCGCTCAGCAGGATCCGACTCGAGCTTCAGGCCGCACCAGTACCTCTCCGGCATGGAGTACAAGCGTCGACGAACCGGGCCAGAGAGGCAGCTCCTCGGGGCGGCATAGGACCAGCGTCGATTCTGCACTTAGTCCAGGCCACGTTTCTGATTCCAACACCATGCCATTTGATAACCTGCTTGATCGCTACTATTCGTTCTTCCACGACGCGCATCCCTGCGTTCTTCCGAAACGCTACCTGCTGGATAGGCTGGAGAAAGATCCGCTGTCATTCGAGGCATTGGTTCTGGTGATGCGGTATATTGGCTCGCTATTCGATCCGTCGACGCAGTCTGAGCTTCTGGAACAGGAGATGTTGCAAGCGCTCGCGCCGACTCTCAATCATCAAGTCCTTTTGACCGGGTATCACGTTCAGTCGCTGCTATTATATATTATCACACTATACGGCTGTAATAAAATTGAAAAGGCTGCCGAATTGATGGAAAAATCAATTCAAATCGCTTTAGGACTCGGAATGCAGCTAGAAGAATTCGCCGTGCAGCATGGGGAAGGTGATCCAGTCCTCGAGGAAAGCTGGAGACGGACCTGGTGGCAATTATACATTATAGACTCCTATATCACTGGCGGCACTCGCACGTTCCCTGCAAAGACTAGCTACGTCGAAATCACCGCATTACTGCCCTGTGAGGGTGACAATTATGAATCAGGGGTAAGTTATACCAAACCTATCCAGATCTTGCTGACTCCAGTTTTGAAGGCTATCCCTGTACCACGCACGCTCTACGAATATGATATGCGGGAATTTTTAGGAATGGATGGAGATGTTGAGTTTTCATCATTTGCAGAGGTGGTTGGTTTGATCAGAAGCCTGAACCTCGTTTTCGCTGGGAGAGAACCGGGCAATCCGGTCGCTGCGCAGACTCTATGTGCGGACGCAGACATCGCTATCTCAGCTTGGTGCGCACTCCTCCCACCTTCTAAGCGGAGAATAGTTAGGAGTGATGGTACCATAGATGGGCAACTTTTCACGGCAAATCTCTTAATCCACACGTATGCCACCTCTTTCCATTCTCAAATGTCCGTTTGTTGACGTGGCCTAATCTTTCTTGATTTGAAGTTATGTTGTCGACCTTCATCGCCAGTTCTCAGAGCTCGCCTACAGCCCCATTGAATCGGTCGCTAGATGTTCACCAACGCCTCCAATAGAACGGGCACTTATGCCACCATCCGCTGACATGGAAACCCATACTCTGAGAGCCCTCCTGTCCATCGAACGGATGAATAGATTGCTCACGGTGGTCACTTGCCTAGCTATACGCACACCGTTCATAATCTGTATGATCGCAACCTCCACGATTGCCCATTTGTCCGCTTGCAAGCATCTCTTTCGAGACAGGAGACTACGGATGGAGCGGGAGAAAATACGACTAAACATGGGTGCACTCAAGACCCTGAGCGAAGTGTGGCCGCTTGGTAGGCGGACGTACACTGAGGTTGGGATAATTGCGCGCGAAATCCTTGCGCTCGCGGACAATGATATCAGTCCGTGGACAAGACCCGCGAGCTTCGACTTCGCGGGGAATGGAGAGTTTAAGGACGCGGTCGAAATGTTCGACGTCTACAATATATTCGATGAGCCCGAGGAGTGCGACTTTCTGGACGATTTGCGGAGGCGTTAAGGCTGGTGACGATTTTTCAAGGCGGTTTTAACTTATGGGAATTAGGAGGTATTAATAACTAATGGTTCAACAAGCTAATGGCTCCCAAAAGTTCGGTGCTTGATATCGGTTTTTCTGGGGGTTCAGGAGGAAGTACTCACCGGGAAACCAACCTGATAGACTTGCATTTACTATTTCTTCTCTCCTTTCCATTCTTTTATTTTCCATTTTTCAACATCTACGCAACATACCTAACAAGCACATTCTTTGCCATTCGACCTGCCCTCAATTCGGGAGAGTATCGCGGTGATACGATTTCCTTCCACGCTCTTGTGTTGGTGAGTGCCTCTTCCATGCCGGACTCCACCCTGCACCTCTATCCCACAAAGCACTAACCAGATTTCTATCAGACCCATACCATTTCTTCAATTCGAGGTTAAAATGGCCGGCTCCCTAACGCGCAATCGGTAACGATGCGGATCAGTTCTTTCAGGGGAACTTCTTACAGATACGAAAAGAGGCCAAATGAGTTTATTAAGAACCTAGTGAGGCCTATGAAGTGCCAAATCTAATACGATGGCAACTGGGATTGTTCAACAACACGCGGTGAATGGGGTTGGGGATGAGCTCAAAAGAAGTAATATTCAGGAGTTTGAAATTAGTATGATTAACTGAAGCTACTATAGAATTTTAACAAAGGTAGAGTGGTATTACTTTTCACATAGTCTTGCTGCAACGATATCTGATCTTCTTGGAGATTTATTATCATTAAGAGGTGACGCTGATTTTTGGAGAAAGGAGCACCAATGAAGCCAGGTTTGTTTTGCACAAAATCTATCTCGCTCAATAGCAGCTTGCAAAAACACCAAATACTCTGACAGGGGAATAAAGCGCTGGATTGAGCTCTGTCGTCTCTTATCTTTATATGTAGAATTTCAATGACCATCCTGAATCCAATATCGTTTCCAAATGTATCGCGTATCGTAAAGGGGGTATCTGAATCAACCTCGAGCCGGGAGAGGCAGTAGATACAAAACATGTCGTCTTTTTTCCATAGCAAATAGCCCAATATATCAATCATTAAATTGCAAAATATCATCCGTCATTTTCAATTTCCAATGCCGCATCATGGCCCTCGTCGATCAAGTCGTAGATATATTCTTCGTATCGCCCGCCCCCCTTTAAAAAGAAATTGAAAAAAAATATATATATAACATCCAGTAACCGAGGCAAGATACATTAGCAATCATTCTAATAACTCTCTGCCGGGATATACACACCGTTTCAAAAACACCCAGAAACTCCTTATAACTGATCGAATGCTAGACTCCCGCACTACTCCTCCTCATCGATTGCTCTTCTCGACCGGTCGAACATCGCGAACTGATTCTTGATGCCGTATATCGCGAACCCCACTATTGCGAGAATGATGAAGAGAACGATGATGATAATTGCAATGGCGATGTTTTTCTTGACCATCTCGGCTTGTCGGAGTGGAATGGGTCAATTCGGTTGGAGTTATCGGAAGACGTTGCGGGCCGGACAACGGAGGGAAGAGGCGCGAGTTGTGATGAAAGGCGGAATAAAGGGCAGCTGCGGAGGGAATAAAACAGGGACTTGATGCTTTTGTATGTAAAGGGAATAATGGCGTGTAATAATTTCTTGATGCTGTCCAAGTTGTTCAAGTTGAGATGATCCGCTGCGTTGGCATGTCAACACTGCTGGTTGTCCGGGCAACACCATGACGACAGAGCAACCAGCTTTCATACGGAAATTTATCTACTTTTTTCCTTGGGTGGCTGGCAAGCCCCATAGCATGACAATTTATACATCTAGTATCTATTCACAAAGCTGCAATAGTGGCTTTCTCATGTATCAAGCTCACGGCAACAAGCCTGGTGGGAAGCTCAGCCATATCGCAATGCTCATTATCCATATGGCGGCATTAGATCATGTTCTGGAGCATGACTTGGTGAGGATGTTCTGAAGCAGATCATCGTGCATTTTGAAAACATCACCCATCTTGCTCAAGTCTTTGGCGCTCATGGAACGTCTGACGTCTGCTGCATCCCGGTACGACTTTGGTCCGCGAAGCTTGCCCCCAGCCAAAAGATCCAGAATCGCCAGTGGTGCCAGCTCTTTGTTCTCAACAATATCCTTCAAGGTAAGCGCTGCGTCGCCCACCTCGCCCGCTATTCTAATAAGACGTGCAAGCCTCGCCAAGCCTGCCGCCACGGCAAGAAATTCTCCGGCGAAGGGGATAAAAAAGAGAAGCGCGGCGATTAGCAGTGAAAATAACTCTTTTTTCTTCTGCTCTTCAATCTCCTCAGCAATCTCCTTGGTCTCTTCCATGGCATCAATGGCTTGTACCATCATGAAGACGGGCATGGAGAGAACTTGCACAATATCCTGTTCGTCGCCTTCCCAGTGATCCGTGCCAATTTGAAGAGCGCCTATGATGAGCTCGGTCTGGAGGGTCGGTAGGTTCTTGAATGCTCCCACAATGATATCTTTGGGGTTGGGAGGTTCCCAGTCCCGCATGAGCCGGGGTCCGCCCATGATTTCTAGGGTAGTAGGCAAGCAGTCCGTTGGATAGTCGCACGGGACTATGTGCTCAGTGTTGACAAACTCGACGACGTCTGAATCAATTCCAGTTTCGTTTACCACAGCCTCGAGAAAGCCGGCCTTGTCCTTTAAAGTATATTCGAGCGTGAAATCTGTGGATAGCTTCTTGTGGAGGTGGACAGGCACGGGGCACGGTCCGTTATATGTGTTGCCGTCACCTTCAAATTTGCAGTCAAAGAAAGCCTGACCGGGGCCGGTTTCCCAGTCTACAAACGTAAGAAATTGGTATTCTCCTGATACCTTCATATAACGAGAATAACTTGCAAATTTGCTGTCGTAGCCATCGTTGACCTCGTCGTACTTCGCCATCAAGTCAACAAGCTTTTTCTTAAGCAACTCTACGGTCCATCGATTTACGCAGCGTCGTGGTGAGGTACCTGCTACTCGTTCTAGGGCCTCTAGGCCACCGTCAAGATCGGCTTCCCCGCAGGGTTCGTAGTGCGATTCTTCGTCCTCCGGAGGGACACCAGTGCCGCCATACCGGTCGAGATCAACAGCCCAATCCGAGGTGCCACCAAAGTTTAGGAACTTATACAACGCGGAGCGAACGGTTTTGGTCTCATCACTCATCCAGCCAACCCATTCGAGGTCGTTGTACACAAGGATATCGGAATGGGACTCATCGTCGAAGAATCCCTTTGTCTTAATACCGGTCTCCTCAAAGTCTTCACCGAACTTGATAAGCTCGCGGATTTCAGCGGACGAAATATACCCGCTGGTGTTGGTGCAGACACCTGGCGCTGCGTCGGATACGAGCGCCGAACCGGTGAACTTGCACGTCGGGCCTGTGCAACCTTCTTCTGCCATTTTGAAGCTGCGCCCGTAACTCGTAATTCCGCAGAAGACCTTGTTAGCTGGAACGCCGGCTTTGGTAATCATCGATAAAGCACTTTGGGTTTCTGTAATGTTGATATGAGATCGGAGACAGTTCCCTTCGGGACAACCCTCGGAGGTCCACTTGTTGCCGTAATCCCATTGTCCATGGAGGTCGTAGGTCATGTAAATAATATAGTCAACAGTCTCGCCAATCTCCTTGATAGGAAATCCTTTTAAATACCAGTAAGATGCCGGAGCCGCGATGGAAACGGATTTATCGGGTAACCGTTGCTTCACCATTTTGATAAACTCCAAGTAGTTCTTCCCCTCCTCAATAGTTCCAGGCGGGATATCACCCGGAAGGCTGGGGGCGGCGGGATATTCCCAGTCAAAATCAACACCCTCAAGGTCATGATCCTTGATGAAATTGACCACATTTGTCACGAATTTCAGGCGGTTTTCGGGTGTCACACCCTCCCTAAAGATCGTGTATGTTGGGCGCTCGGTGGAGAATGTCCACCCACCAAACGAAAGGATACGCTTTATTCCAGTCATTCCCTTCAGTTTCATAAACTGATCCTTCACCCGGGTAATATCTACATCGAATTCTGGGGTGAGATCCGCAAATGCAAAGTGTATGTGGGTAAAATGATCAGTGTCGATATCTGTAACGTCCATATGAAGGCAGATTCGGTCTTTGTTCCACGCTTCAAAATAGGCGACGCGAGAGAAACTCTCAGGGGGTTCCTCATTGTTGACAACATCCATACCGCAGTTCGAAATACATCCATTAGCACCAGGCTTCGAAGTACCAGGGGCTCCGGTGTCGGCTGGACTCTCAACGCAAAAATCCCTTGTTAGACCACATTGGCCCCATACATTGCAGCAGACGTTGAGGGGACAAGGGTTGAGATCTTGAAGCTTTGTGCCGTCAGTTGGGCGAGCGGTGCCTGGCACTTGAGGGCCGCAGACAGCATTAGGAATAGGGGCGGGCATCGGGGGATCCCCAGAACTCAGGCAGATCCTTTGGCCCACCTGAAGATTCTTGCAGCCAGTCCAGCCCCAGGTGTTCTTATTCAGGCTTTCAATATTGTCTGTGGTTAGATAATATGTCTGTGCGATGCTGAAACAGATATCGGCCGGCTGAATCGTGTAGGTCGCACAAGTGCCATCAGGATTGGGTTTCGGTGAAAAGTCCGGCAAGTCGCCAGCAGAGCAGCAAACCCACTGGTTAGGCTTCAAGGTCCCGCAAAAATTGGACACTTCTTTGTTGTAATCCTTCAGCTGGGTTTGGCTAATGCTGCACCTCTGAGCTAGACTATAGCAGCCGTCTCCTGCGGCGACCTGTATGGCCCTGCAAGGCGCGCGACGATGCAGATCGCGTGCTAATCCTGGAGTTCGCTTCTCCATAGTATCGGATTGCTGGAGACCTGAAGCCAAGGCCATTATCTGCGGGACATCGGTCGCCTGGCGCATACTAATCTCTACACCCTTCCACGTTTCCTTTTTGTTAAATCCGGAAAGGCACTTGGCATCACTCCAGTTTCTAACGGCCTCTTGAGCACCTGTAATGTCGCCCTCGGGGTCGGCGTATAGACCCAGGATCCACGTATTTGGCGCGTCGTCATCACTGTCGCGGCAGAGCTGCACGGCAATCTTGCCTGCTGAGGGATTTCTTTCGATGTTGTCGACGAACTGTTTGATTATCGATGCCGCAGTTGGTTTGTGGATCTCTTCACCAATGTATAGGCCCACAACCGCTTTACCAGAATGGGCGAAAATAACGGTAGAACTGCAGTCGGGCTCGGATTTGACGAGGTCTTCAAGTTTGTTGGCAGCCGAGATAATGTCTTCAAGTTGGTCTCTGCCATCGTTGCCGGTCCAGCGGAGGAGATGGACGTCTGATTTATTTCTGAGCATTTTGGCACCACGCATACACCCGGAAGTAGAGGTTGAAGATCGGCGTTGGTGTAAGCCAAAGGCAAAGGGACTCACGGAAAGATTAATATCCTGCGTGGTAGCCGCCTTCGAAGCTTTGCAAGCCCGAAACGTAATGTGCGTATCAGAGTTGTCAATGGGCGTATAAACAGCCATGTCAAAGAGAGTGGTCTCCGCACACCGTCGAAGGGCGCTTTCGCCATGGAGGTAGGTCCAATTCGATGGGTTGGAGCCTGCAAAGCTGCACTGGTCCGGGCACGGATCAAATGGTGTGGACTGGGCAAAAACAGTAGAGGCCAGCCACGGCACAAAGGTATAGGCAAGGGCGGGCTTCATCTTCGGTCTTCCCTAGCACCAGAATGCGGAGGGAACGTTGGGATTACGAGTCAGGAAGAAGGAGATGATAGCGAAACGGCAGAAAGGGTTCTTAAGGGAAATAGGTTGGGCAGAGTATCCTTTCAGGGGGGAAACAGACTGAGAAATTGAAAGGTCGGCCATGTCATGGTTTGCTGGCCACTGGCATTACAGCAGCGCACATAGGGCCCTGCCAAAAACGAATATGAGATGGTACCATTTTCAGGGATCAAATTACCCTGTCTTAGTGAACGGTTGGCGCCGTGCTAAGTTGAACCGACGAACAAAGCGGTGATCCGGCCGAATTCCACGAAGAACGGGCCGGAAAGCCATTATAAATCTTACCAAGTTGGCTTGTGCTGCAGCTCTTCCTCGATGTCGAATTGTCCATTTTGAGATATCGGTGTGTTGTCTCCGGGAACACTGCGGAGTAACCACGCCCAGGTTCTTGAATAGCCAACAGAGATTGTTCACCGGATGTGACCTTGGATTGCCATCTGTACTAGCCGGGACCTTTTCTCGCTGAAACCCGCCAGAATGCCGCGGAGATGGTCTAGATAAAAATGACAATCTCGGGCACCCGCGGATTAAGGAGGAACGAGAAAGAGGTAATAGAAACCGCGATATCTCCCAGCTACCTTCGAGGCCGCGCCTGTCGCATCTTCGCTTCATCTTTACGGGGCAGACGCTTGGTTTCCGTCTATTTTGATTCCCGTCAGCCCTTAACTCGGTACGCGATGAAATCTGCGTCTCTCCTGTTTATCCTCTGCCTGGTGACGGGTGCGCTCGCGGAGGAGTTTGCGCCTAAGTTTCCGAGTGCTCGTGGTGCCTGCGAGGTGGCGTGGCAACTCTTCGCTATTCATGCCGATACACTGGCAGCCTCCCGAACTAAGACGAAACCGAAGTTCATTCAATGGTATTTTGGAGATAGGACGAACTTCAACGAAGTGACGCGGTTTCTGCACCCGCATGACACAGAGCTTCCCAATATCTTCCCGTCCGGACAGAAGCTTGATGCCCCCCTCGATACAATACTCCAACAATTGATCGATGCGAGAGCAACCGGGCCCTTATTTTATGGGCGAGTATTTCCGGGGGTTTCACATCCAGAATTTCTGCGAGCCTTTTCAACGTCCATACACGATGTTGCACAGAAGTTAGATCTTTCTGACAAAGTTGAGAAACATTTGCACGATAACTTGCATGGGTCTTTAAAGGGGATTGTGGATGCGCGAAAAGCCGACTCTGACTATTACCTTAGAAGGGAACTGCACGGGGCGGCGAAAGAACATGGCAAGGATATAGATCTTAAGCTGAAAGAGTTCAAGCTCGCCGACGAAACTCTTTCTACGCTCGATTGGGACGCAACATTGAGGGGATACAAAAAAGAAAATGAACTGGACGAGACGGGTAAATGGTTGGAGGAGCAGTATAATAAGTACCTAACGACCGGGAGCCCGTACGAGCTATCGATGCGGGTCGGTCATTTGAAGTCGATTCAGGATTTCAAAGAAGCCCTGGATATCCAGATGGGGGTTGGTTGCTCGAGGAAATGAACGACGGCGGGTTGGCTCAATCGGCACGACAGTTTTCGGGTTTTCAGCTGAGCCTGTCAATTAGGTAGTTAGTGATATACAAGCACAGACGAGCCAACGGCTGATGTCGGGAGAAATTGAGGGCTGTCAGATCCTCGTGGGTTTGATATTCCCTGACAGCTAAGGAAAGATGAGTTGGTTAACTAGGCTGTAACAAACAATTAGTTAGTTAAGCTTCACAAGAATCAATATTAGCGATGTTTTGGGAAGTACATACTAGACATACATACTCTGTACTCCGTACACGCACAAACATATGCCTAGTCGATGGGCATATTATTCCATGATGTAGAATGTGTTGTGGCCTGGAATACTGAAAAACCAGCATCCCCGTTTTAGGTAGTTATCTTGCCTGTCATTTTCTGAGAGTCGACCTTTCTGCGGCACCCGGGCGACAACTCATCTCGAACTTGCGCGTAATATACAGCCGAATCCCGTCGTTCTCCATTCCCCGCCATTCCTCCGGCATACTGATCAACAACTCCAAACTCACTCATATTGACTCCACGTTCGTTGTAGAACCATGTCTCTGGCTGGTGGTCGAAGACAGTCCACCGCACCGATTCAGGAGAAGCGGCAACATATCCGCGCCATGCGTGGATTGTCCCCGGACGCATATCTTTCCACGCATCCCGCTCTAATGCCGTCTCCGAGAGATCAATCGCCATGTCCCGGGTCCACCGCATGATGTCCTCGCGGAAAAATGGATTTCTATCGTCACGCTCGGCTTCGTAAAGCAAAAACCAGTCTGGTGTGGGATCGATGGCTTTCCCGACAAGTGGGTTGCCAATCACGATGCAGGCCCGTGCAATCTGTGGCATCATGGATGGCTTGCGGCGGGCCAACTCAAGATAGGTCTCACTATCCGCCCAGTGAGGATTGAGGTACGGCAGGTGTTCCTCGGGGGTTTCCTCCGTTATTGGGACAGGTCGTTGTTCATAATGAATCTGGCGAGAACAGCACGGCGGATAAGGTCATCGCTTCGTCCGGCATGTCAGGCTGCATAGACCACCATTCAGCAAACATAGTGTCATGGTAGATCCCGCGAACGACGCATCGGAGCTCATCTCGCTTAGGGTCCCGGAGCCGAACGTATCGGTCAATGTGTTCCCGGAGTAAGCTGCGTAGAGTAGCAAGAGCGCCGTATTAACGTGAGGCGGTATAGCATCAGGCAATGGTGAATAGAGATATGGCAAAGCGGTAGCGTGCCGGCTCCATCCGACGTCTTGGTCGCGCAGCTGTCGGTGGTTTTGAACGCAGATTCGCTGCGTGCTGCGGGGAATCGTCGAGATGGGTAAATAGAGGACGTTGGTGACCAGAGGCCCGAGCTGATGCGGACAGCTGGGATCCTACAAAGGCCGCGCATTAATACTGTCGCGGCGAAACGGGGGGCATGACATTTATTGAGGTGAAGTTGAACTGGTTGAATGGTTCGAACAGGGTGGCCTGAGTGAGTTGTTAAGTGAGGAGTTAAGATGTAGGGAACGAGGGCTTGGGTGGTTTCGACAAAAGGGAATATATAGTCTTATTCCGCGAAAAGAAATGAATAAATAAATACTCTGGAGACAGAGATGATAAACTGAGGATGATACTAATGGAATAGGAATTACTGCAGTTTTCCCTTTTTTCTTTCAGGCATTATTTGAAAATCTTTTGCTTGCTAAATGGAAATCATACTTATCAGCACAAGCATAACTGCTCACTACTCCGTACACATATCAGATACGCCCCAAGATCTGATAGTTTATCTTATGGTCAATGGCAATCTTCTATGTTCTATTTACCTCAAGCTGTCGCTCAACAAAAAGATAGACAACCTGTCTCAAGTTAAAAAAGTGGTACATGAAGGGAAGATAATGTGCGCCTAGGATATACAGATGTACATTGCACAGGTAGATTTTAAAGCAGACCGCTAGAAGAAGATCTCATGGCACTCCTCTCTGATGCCGCGGAAAGGAGTTGATATTCATCGGCATTGTCCGTTGGCTCCCGTCAGGATACGGATGATGTTGCGTGAGTGGAGGCGGAGGCAGTTGTGGATGCTGCGGAACGGGCTCCTGATGCAGGCTCATCATGGCATTTGACACTTCGCGCTCCGCAGGGGAGCGCTGTTCTAGGTGCGGAAGTTGACCGGGAGTGCCGTTGAAGGAGTCAGGCCGGACGCTTTGTGGTCGATGGCCGTGGCTTGAAAAGTTTGGGGTGTTTCGTCCGGTACTGTTGGGTGGTGGGAGCGGGCTTGGAGCGTTGAATGAATAGGTCAGGGGCGGTCTTGAATGCGCGGAAGAACTGGGCATGCTATGCATCGTTGGATGGGAGGGCTGTGGTGGGGAGTGAGCTGCCGCCTCATCGCCGTGATAGGAAGCTTTTGACTGATGGTTCCCGATGCGCTGCCGCTTTGCCGGTCTGAACGGCTCATGGACATCGTTGGGGTCTCGGGTTTCGTATGGTGTTGACGGATTCGCGGGTTGTCGATCTTGATTCAGTGATTCAGGGGAAACGGGGTTACTTTGCTGGGATGGCGATGGCATATGGAAACGATTGGAACTGGGGTTTCCGTTGTTGTTTGCATTAGGGAGTTTCTGCAACAGGTTCTTGGTAGCAGACGCAGCATGTTGCCTCTCGAGGATCGGATCCATATAGGCCCCAACTCCCGAGCGACCCATGCTCTTATCGTGCATAACAACGCGTTTCCATTTCGCAACTAGATGATCATAGTCCCATCTTGTGGACTCTGCACTGTTCATGCTGCTCTCCTTCTCATCCAACTCCCGCGCCACTTCTGGTGCGAGAGGCAACAAATTGGGCGGGAAAATGGCAAATTCCCTGGGCCATTGACAGGAAGTCAGTTTCTCAACCTGTGCGCGTAGTTGGTTCGCCTCCTGCTGCGTCCTCTCGAGTTGCTGTTCCACCTTCTTTAATTTCTCCGTCTCCCTCGCGAATGCACGGGTGATTTCCAATTGCCATAGGTTCCGCTGCTCATGCGGAGGCAGAGCGATCCAGTGGCGTAATGACAAGTCCAAATGGCGTATCATCATCTCTTCATGTTGCTGAGAGGTCCTCTCCACGATTTCGGCATCACTGTTAGGAGAACCGGCATTATACTGTGAAGCCCCCGGCGCAGTTGACACTGCAGAGCCTAATTTATCCAATTTCCACTGCTGTATTTTTGCTCGAAGGGCCTGCTGGACGATATCTCTCTGATTTGGCGTAGGTGGCTCAATCGGAAAGGAGTCTGGGGAAGAAAAGGGATGCGTGGAGAAGAGGCTGGGAGGAGGCGGCAGCGCTTGCAAGCACAGCGACGGGAACGTCTGTGATTGGAGATCAAAGTCGAAAGGAGATAGTGTTGAGGATTTGCGTGTACTACATGGAATTGTTTTAACCCATCAGCAAAGTTGCATGCCGCTGTAATGTGATTCAAGGGGGCACGATTGGGACCTACGTGGCAGCCTTGATGCTATCGAGCACCTCACGCAACGCCAATTCCAGAGCTCTTGCGGTTTCCGGATTTGAATCCGTCAATATATTGAAGCGCTCGAGCGGCGTCGCCGGTATCTTGAGTTGCGACACAGAGGCATTGGGGATATCGTTGATCACGCCCGTAGCATGCCAACTCGGTTGGTTCAAGAACACCCGGTACTTCCCCGTCCCCTTTGGGTTCAATTGTAGCGGAGGGATGGAATGCGGATCGGGCGTGCGTTTCGTGCTTGAAGCGTCTGGACTTGCCTGCTTGGTGGAATTGCGCGCGGTGCGCCTTGTGATTCCGCTTCGAAGGCGGCGAATCTCCTCGACATCGTGGATTCCGTCCGGTTTCTTCTTGAACAGATACTGGTCCAGGTGGCGGCCCAAGGACGACGATGTGAAGAGCTGACGGCAATAGCGACAGTGCTTGTCTTTCACTGCGGGAACCTTTTGTCCTGACGCGTTGAGTTCCTGACTGTCTTCCTTCGTCTCGGGCTCTTTGCCAGCGTCACTCTCGGGCGCTCCAGCATCGCTCATCGTGGCTCTTCAGCTATCATGGAGATCGCGGCTCTTGTGGCTTTCGGATCGCTCAACTGCGTCAACAGTTTGGCGTTCGCAAGGTTGGGTTCCTGGACGGTGCTCGTTAACGGCTCCTCGCAACGAACAAGGTGAGCAAAGGGGGTTTCCTGGACGAAACAATCTAGGTTATCGATCTACAAAATTGGCAAACTCAGGCGTGGAATCCAAGCAGCATTCGCGTCTGCACCATGCGCTGAGAGAAGAAGAATCGACCAGGCTGAAATTTACAAGTCGAGTTCAACTCACGAAGCGTTGGATGCTCCCATGTGGTTGGTTGTTGGATTCGGATTCTTAACCATTGCTTTTTCGAAGCCATGCGACAGCCACATGGGCAGCTCACTAACTAGGGAACGCAGCGGGCTGGTCACAGCCAGGGACATGGATGCTTTGCAGCATCTGCAGCGCTCAATAACGGAAGTTGTTTTACTCTGCAACTACAATGTGTAAGGGTACCCTCGCTATCGATAACCGAAATTATTACAAGCAAGCCCTCTGAGGGACGGAAAGCCTCAAGGCGGGGGAAGATGGTATCACAGCGGATTATATCGTTGCATCCTTGCTTCAAAGGCTCGACTGGGATGCTGTTGGGAATTGTGCCTTTCTCAGCTCCTCGCCAATGTACTCCCCAAGCATGACCAGTTTCTCCTCTTGGTACCGCCTCCCTACGAGCTGCAATCCTACCGGCGTGCCATGATACAATTCGGCGTGGTCTGCAAAGTCAAGTTAATAAGGATGAATCGTTGAAGAAGCAGCGGAATGGAAAACTTACAGCTCTGATAAACAAGGGCATCAGCTTCGTTCAATGGAATATAGTTTTGTTCTGCGACGTCTAGCGTTTGGTCTGCCTTTGTGACGGGAATCGCGATAGCACTATAATCCAGAAGGTTCACGAAACTGGTATATCCCACGTAATAGGATCCCCCCCGTGTGGGCGCCGCATACGGTGCAACCGGACAGATAAACCCGTCAACTGGACGGCCCGTGCCTGTTTGCGATGCAGTACTGTTCCAATATTCCATATATTCCTTTTGATATTCGCGCTTGGACACGTTCACGGCTGCAATTTCTTGGGCGTTCAATTGCGGGTTATTATTTTCGTAGACATAATCGAATGCCGCGACTCTTTCACCCGATAAACCGAAATGGTTCCGAGCATCTGCGCCGTTATCAAAGCTGTATATTGTGTGCTTTTGCAAGAAGAATATCAGCCGCTGACCCCCCAGTTGAATTCCAAAGGATGTACATACCGCTAGTTCCGCTGCTCTCGCATGACTTGGAGGCTTCCATTCAATGACCTAATGCAGGTTAGCTGGTTTGACATTTCGAAACTGACCGCAGTTTTAAGCCTACCTTGTGACCAAGCCGCGTCAAAGTATTTTCCATGATCTTCAGTGCACGGACAACCGGTGGCTGCGGTTTACATGAGCCATCGTGATAAACAATCCCAAAGGCCAACGCCCCTGAACCCTGACGGCTTTTGTTTATTAATGCCAGGGTTTCACGCTCTATATCATCCCTCCATGGGAGTTCAATCGCCATGGGATCATGAAGCCATGGTTGCTGGCTAAGTACAGCTTTAAAGATAAGCTTCAGATCTCGAGCGCTCTTGGCCATAGGCCCGATAACCGAAATAATTGAACCCTGCCCATCCATTGAATTGGCAGCGCCCTCATAAGGGATTCTACCAGCAGACGGGCGGATGCCATATAAACCATTATGAGCCGATGGGATGCGGACACTCCCACCAATGTCGGTGCCGAATCCCGCTGCAGAGCCTCCTAGAGCAATAAGTGCCCCTTCTCCGCCAGAGCTTCCGCCACTAGAAAGATTGCGGTTGGCAGGATTCCATGTATAGTCGATGATGTTATTGACCGTTTCTCCAATCATGAGCGTAGCCGGCACAGCGGTTTTACAGTGCAAGATTGCACCCAACGCACGGAGTTCCTTTACCAACTCGCTCTCGAACACACCACGCCGAGAATCATTTTTGATCCCCTGGAAGGTTCCTATCCAGCCAACATATCCCATGGTTGTCTCGACTCCCTTGACATGAAACTGGTCCTTCAAGCTAATCGGAAGCCCATGTAGCGGGCCGACTGGTCTCTTATGCTTAGAAAAATAGGCGTCCAGCCGTTGTGCATCCTGGAGTTCAGAGTCAAAAAAAATCTCGTGGAGACAATTTACCTGCAGCCTCATATCAGATTTTTGAACGTCGATTTACTTGAGAATCAAGCATACCAATTGATGAGCAAGGGCTGCTCTATGACAAAATGCCTTTGTTACATCAACAGCGCTCCATTTTCCAGTGGTAGTATGTGCGAGAATGTCGACAGCATCTGACTCTGTGACCTCAATCTCAAAGGGCGTTAGATACTGCTGGATGTAGCGCCCAGTGACATCGCGTTGCTCAGACGCTGGCGGGATGGCTTGCAAGCGCCATTGCTTGGGAATCAAGCGCAAGATCGATTCTCGCTTTGTTTTCGCCGCGAGCTCCCAGGAAACTGACGACATCTTCTTGGCTATATTCTTCGGTGAGTGAAGGTAGCTGCACATTCGGGGGAGGAGTCGCATCGGTTTATCAAGTCGAACCCCCCGGCCGAGAGAACTGCCAGTCAGTTGCTTGGCTCAGGAATTAGATATCCCAACTGGGACCCGTTGCAGGTGAAGCCAAAGCTTGATCTTCGAGGGCCCACGACGGCTCCATTTTGGACACTCATCGTGCGTGTTTCGCAGCGTGAGATGAACACAAGGTTCGTCCTCGGTGGCACCGTACCGCGGTTAACTGCTGCAGATGAGACGCTTATCAACCACTGGCATGGCAGTCGTCTTTGCGGTCTGTGCCGGCGTCCTTGAACATTTGTCGAACATTAAGATTGATCCGCTTCCCCGCCATCCAGCCCCGCCAATGATCCAAAGCATCACCGTCGCCATCGCTGCGACCACCGCCAGGCCATGCTTCCAGAGATTCCGGACAAGTCGCCGGGATGATCTTTGGAACAGCGTGCCAAGCGAATCTAGATGCACCGCTCATGTACACAGCATCTCCAGATCGGAGTCTGAGCACGGTACATTCCTCGTTCTCATGCCCCACGAGGAATAATCCGTCGCAGCCTAGGCTGATACTGATCAGTCCTTGGTCACACTCCTCGCTTACGTCTCTATGAGGATAAAGGGTGTCTCCGGGCGAATAGAGATTTACAATGGCGGCCTCTGCAGTTGTCTCCTGAAAAATACTGTGGAGGAGGATACCTATGTCTGAAGGGAAGGGAGGCGGAGGTCCTGGGGGATACTCTTTGGACGTCCAATTGTACTGGCCACCAAGAGTCATCCAGCGTAATTTACTATTGAGAGCAGCCTGGATCGACAACGGGCGATGTATTGAGGGATCCTTTGGGGAGAGTAGCCGAGTAGGGTCATCCTGGAAGAATGACGGCTTTCCCGTCCCAGGTATCTTCTGCTGTAAATTCTCTGTTGCTCGCTCTGTTTCAAACGGACAGCACGCCACGGCCGGATACGAGACATTATAATGTAAATGCAAGTTCGTCTGGTGGCTCTCATCCGAGAGATCGCGATGGAGCAAACGGGAAAAGAGTTCGACCTGGACGCGGGCGGCAACAGGGACGAGATGATCTGGAGACCTTGGTAGCATTAGCGATAGATGCTGCAAAAGCCCGGGTTGTTACTACCAGAACCTGCTGAATTCCATTAGCGCAAGCGCTCCCCATGCCATTCTGTAAGTCGTTCTTCCCAGCTTCGCTGCCCATGAATTGGCCCAAACGCGGACTCAAGGGTGCTTTTGGGGATTCGTTTCTCTAGAATGACTCCGTTGGGCAAATGGTCCTCGTCCAGTCCTTTGAAATCTAGGATCCGCGGGTGCGAATCGATCTGGGAGGGGCTCAGGCGGCGACATTCGTTGTACAGCTCGCGGATAGCTGCCGGGGCCCGTTCGTGGGGATTGAGCTGTCCAGTTGGACCCATGCGTGAGCTTCCTCCTGTAGTCAGTAGTAACTATCGTTCCGTGTCTGGAGTGCCTCAGCAAGAGAGAGAGAATCAATCCTTTTCTTTGGTGCGAGTTCGGTCTCTCAGAAAACACCGAAACTTCTTTGGGTTTTCAATGAACCACGAAGCTATATTGGGACTTTATTGGATGAAAAGCGCGTAGAATTCCGGTAACTTTGGACAATGAGCCAACCAGCGGCGCGATGCTGGCCGCGAAGAGAGGCGTAAAGCGAATTGTTGTTTGTTTGTGCGAGTGTTGTCCACTGGACTCCCCGGGAAACAAACAACAAGCAGCCTTGTCCCCCACCACCGACCAACCCAACGATGAAGCATCTCTCGTGAGAAAAGAGACTCAGCCAGATGCTGCGGACACTTGTGACGCTGGACAATGACATATAAACTCCCTGGTCTCTGAGCACTTGGGAATTTACTCATTCTCCAGCAAAATCGTTTACATCCCACGGCTACCCGTTTCGAGCGCCTCCGCTGCCAACGATTCTTTTTCGCGTCCCAATTCACCGACAGGCCACGTTCTTTAGCCCTCTATTACTATTATCTAGGAGATTACTGAACAGTAGAATTACAAAACCATGGAGAACTATCAGAAGATCGAGAAAATCGGAGAGGGTATGTCCAAGACGCACAACCAGACGCGCCCCCTCCCCTGGCTTCTAGACGCGAGGATTCACTGCGGGAATGGTGCTAAAGGCCATTCAATCTAGGAACGTATGGCGTCGTTTACAAGGCAAGAGACCTGAGCCACCAAGGCCGCATCGTGGCTCTCAAAAAAATCAGACTCGAGGCAGAGGACGAGGGCGTACCGAGCACGGCCATTCGAGAGATTTCCCTCCTAAAAGAAATGCACGACCCGAATATCGTTCGGCTTTTTAACATCGTTCATGCCGACGGACATAAACTATACCTCGTCTTCGAATATCTTGACCTGGATCTGAAGAAGTATATGGAAGCGCTTCCTGTTAGCGAAGGTGGTCGAGGGAAAGCACTTCCAGACGGTTCGAATCTCGATATGGGCCGATTGGGACTGGGTGACGCTATGGTTAAAAAGTTCATGGCCCAGCTTGTGGAGGGTATCCGTTACTGCCATAGTCATCGAGTGCTTCACCGTGATTTGAAACCCCAGAACTTATTGATTGATCGGGAAGGCAACCTGAAATTAGCGGACTTTGGTCTTGCCAGAGCTTTTGGCGTTCCGTTGCGAACATATACCCACGAGGTTGGATATTCCACATCGTCTTCGTTGAATACGCGTACTAACTGCTATATCAGGTCGTAACCCTCTGGTATCGGGCCCCAGAGATCTTGCTAGGTGGACGCCAGTATTCAACAGGCGTTGACATGTGGTCCATCGGAGCTATCTTCGCAGAGATGTGCACCCGAAAGCCATTGTTCCCTGGAGATTCAGAAATTGACGAAATCTTCAAAATCTTTAGGTATGTTGCACGACCAAAGCGTCCCCATGGCACGGCACTTGATTAACCTAATTATATCTAGAATACGTGGTACTCCTGACGAGAGGACATGGCCTGGTGTAACCTCGTTCCCCGATTTCAAAACCTCATTCCCCAAATGGAGACGTGAAGATATCCGCAAACTAGTTCCAGGTTTAGAGGAAAGCGGAATCGCGCTACTAGAAGCCATGCTTGAGTACGATCCTGCCCGTCGCATCTCCGCCAAACAGTCCTGCGTTCACCCTTACTTCCGCTCCTGTAGTTCGGCCTACTCTGGTCGCGGCAGAACAGTGAATTACCACTGAATAATGAAGTATCTTTATCGTGTGACACCTCTTCTTCAAATAATCTGCATCGCCAGGTTACGGCAGCTGGAACTCCCCTGCGAACGCCAATTCAGGGGAGATGGAAACTATCTGTTGAATCTACCCATGCCTGGCTCTTTTCCTCCCTTTGCTTTCAAAAAATATCCTCTTTGGTTTTTGCATTGTTTCCTTTATCCATACCAACAAAGTACCTACCCCCAGGACTTGATCTATATTTCCTTTGTCTGCATGGCGTGAAGGGGCGGAGATATGGAGTCATTTGCACAAAGTGAAAGTTGGGAACTAGTGCGCATAGATAATCCTCAACTTCTTGTAGTGCAATGGTATATTGTCAAAGAAAATTCTAACCATATCTTATCCAGAGTCAACTTTTGAAAGGGTATATTCCCCATAACCACCCACCCACGCTGGATAGGTCTGAACAACCAGTTGTTATCGTTGGGCACCCTGACTATGGAGCTCGATGACCCGAGAAGTTATGGAAATTTATTTACCCCCCCCAGATCACGAAACCATTCCCCAGCTTGCTCTTCAATGGGGATGGAAGGCCTCTGCTCCGTCCTACCAAGCTCATTCCTAGCAGAAACCCCACATTCAGGCAGCGCCATACTACTACTATCCTCTTCACCTTCTTTGATTCCCGCCCTCGTCGAAGCATGATCGTATGGAACCCGGATCAGCTTCACCCTGCTCTCACCAAAGCCCTTTTCGCGACCCCAAAAGCACGCACTGCGCATTAGTTCGACCATCTCGGCACCTTGCGCCGCGAGGACAGTTTCTTCACCAATCTTCTTCACGTCTGGGAGCGAACCTCGGGGTGACGATTGGCGACTCTGATGATTGGTAGTAGATGGTACTTCACTGTTTTCGGAGGCTGCAGAACTGTCCGAATCCAGAGCCATTTTTTCGAGTTTAGAATGCAATGTATCCGCCGAATCCGCATGGGGATGGGCCTCCGCCGGAGTTAGGTTGGAATGAACGAATATCCTCACATTCGGCAGGACGACAGTATTCGATGCACCATTTTTATATCCTGTATTCGAGAACGCTCCATAGTCGGATCCAACTGGTGGCCATCTCGCGAGGGTTTTCCTGCGTCGTATGAAATGTTTTGCAGATTCAGAGACATTTCTTGTAGCCTCCATATCCTCCAGTATAGACGCAGTCAGAACCCACATATCGCTTTCTTCAGGCGGTTGGACAACAGGGATGGGATAATTTGGACCCGTGAAAACAGCAGGGAATCTAGTCGGACAGTACTTCCCAGAGGACCTCAGGAATAACGTAGGCGATGCGAACGAGTCGAAATAGTTCTGTGGTGCATGGAAAAGGGAATTTCGTGCTATAAGGAGAGAAACTAAGTCTGTGGGTACCGGCTTTGGCGGTCTCTTCCTCCGGCCACGCTTCTTGTGATCACTGGCGTAATGATCACCAGCACCAAAAGCCCCAAAGTCCTTCTCCCGTTGTAAGACGTCTCTTTCCCCAGACTCAATTATACAGTAATCATCCAATCCAACCCAATCGCATATAGGGTCTTGCGCCGCCACACCAGCTATCAACCTTGGCTCCGTAAGAGCCAACATCAGAGCCAGAGAACCGCCAATATGCTTGCCAAACACGTTGATAGAACTAGGGTCGAGATTCCGAAGTATCCAATCAAACCCTGCGAGAGTATCGTGTACCGGAATCGGAAATTTGAAAGACGTTTGCTTCCCATTCTCATCAATCTGCGACCCCAGGCGATAATTAACTGTAACTGTTGTACACAGGCTTGTTGATGCCAGTAGCTGTGCGGAATCTATGGAAGGTTGCTGGCCAGCAGTAGAAATGGCACGAGATACATCATCCGAATGCGTGAAGAGCAAACCGGGCGGGAGGTAGAGAAGGACTTTCGACTTCTGTCCTGCTGGGACGTTGGGAGGTTCTATAACCCTATCACGAAAATCGATCATAAATCAGCAACTTGGAATGGTAATACAGATAGAATTGACACTGACAAACCTCAAGGAGATGCTACCACTGCTTCCAACGGGAACCTGCTCAAGGCGCTCACGATACCGCGGGTGCGAAGCATGGGAAGTCCATCGCACAGGGAATCTGCAGACAGAGAAACGGGTATGCGTCTGAGCTAGGCGCGCATTGGAAAACAGGAAGTGAATGACTGAAGCTAAATGGCGCATAGCGCCATCATGTCCGCGTCGCGTGCTAGCTGCGAGATGAAAGAATACTCCCTGGCTATTTAGTGATGTGTTTTGTTGTTGTGGCTTGAAACTGGGTTCTTGAAACTTGGGTCTTGATATTTGAACTAAGTTAAGGTACAAACCACCACTAACCCGGATTCCATTGATCAAGCACAAGATATTCTCCTCAGCTATTGATTATACCTGGAAGGAAAGCATAAAGGAGGGTCCAACTGACTCTTGGACTCCTTCAGACATTAGTGAGGAATATAATGGCTCGATAACATCACAGCTCTTTGTTAAGCCAAGGTCAAAACGGGGTTTATCACGCCCCAAGCATGGAGATGAACTATTGCAAGACATATCCTTTCAATGAACATGAGGATTTGACCACCCCCGGTGGACTCTATGGTTTCATCTATGGTCCTCGGATCTCTAGTGTTCATAGTGTTTTGCGTGAGATTCGGACCTCGCATACACGTTCTTGAATCGGCACCCGCGAAAATCGAGAAGTCCAGCGAACAACCTACATAACAAGCTTGGAAAGTGTTTAGGAGAATCAGGAGCACCGTGAACGGACTTGCGCTGATCCAGGTCTGTCAGCCGTGAGCTATTCCCTGGCCACAGGGACTGTCGTTTCGCTAGCAATACGATGCCAAAGACCAACTGGGTTACACAATAAACCAGCACTCGCTCTGTGGATGGGCGGTGCTCAATGGCTTCGTACGGGTATTCTTCGAACCTTTCCAACGCTGTCAGACTGGCTCAATTAAACATATTTTTATCAAACCAAGAAGTCGAAACGATGAAGATTATAGGCAAGATGTCACACTGCGCGTACGGCTCAACGATTCGTTATCGTGGACGCAATGGTATGACCACCATGCATGCTGTTTCTCGTCTCGTCGGCAACCGCGGTTCAAGATCGTCTATCGACCCCCCTCCCTGCCATGATAGGCTGCTGGCAAGGACCATCGCTCCGAAAATAGCCACAAGAGCAGCGGCATGCATACCCGGATCTAATCGGCACTTGATGAGTCGCAGGACAACATCACGCACGGCAACGAACGGGTACAGCAGCGTAGCCACGAGCTCGAGTCTCAGGGTTACCTTTTCGGCACTTTGCATATCTGATAGATGAAAGCGAAGTGGCGTGGGCCGTGAGTAGCCAGGCAAGGTACGAGCCGGGACCGTGCCAGCTGAAGATGATATTATCACCCGGGTTTGACGGGGGCCAAGACAACGGCATTTTTGGCTTCCGGAAATATGCATTGGAGGGTCGTGTTTGGGCTATTCATATAGTCAAAGTACGGAGAGAACCCTCCGGTAACGCTGGAGGTAATGATGGACACGTAGAAGAGCCAGAGTTTTGAAGTTAAGAGAAGGAGACTAGAAAAGATGTCTATCCCAGACATGGCTATATTGATTTTGTATCTTTCTAGCGGTTAGACGAAGAGGACTTTCTTTGGTGGCCTGTATCCTTGTGCTATTGGAGTATTGGAACCATTTTCTTTTTGATACTTTCCTTCGTCATAGCCGCTATGTATTAGTTATTATTCAATCACAATTCACTAAAATGACCTGTTTGCCTTCTTGAAATATGAATACCACTCATTAGGTCGGAGTTTCATTTTACTTCGCCACGGTTGCTTCTGGATTCAGCCTTGAAGGCGCAAAACGGCTGCCACTAACCAACTAGATGTCGTAAAGCCACCACAGCTGACAACGGGATGCCCTGTTGAACCAATTTTTGGCCATATGGTCGATTTTCTAAACGCTCCAGGGTAGTACGTCGTATATCTTTTGTTAATATGCATGCAACCTGCATTGCCATCGTATGATTCGTTATTGATATTTTTTCCCAATCGGATCGCCAAAACTTGCATGCCTTTGGACCACTGACGCTGCAATATCCATAACGGCGGGATGAGCTGCATAATCTCCGAAAAATAGCCACGCAGAATGACATGGATGACCATGTGGCATTCCCGCGTGGAGCTCGGAAGACGGGCTGGACTCGGCTAGTTATTCAAGAGGAGGGGATTGGAAGTTCCCGTATTTGATGTCATGGGACAGGAGAGTGATAAGATTTCGGCTACTCCAATCCATCACTCTATGTAATCATGTCGAATCCACTTCAGATTCATATAGAAGAATTCTAGGGTATCAAAACCATGATCAGGTAGTAATAGGCAGGTCGTGTAGTCAGACGTGTCCAAAAAGGAAATAGAAAAAGGCCTAGAAAGCGCTAGAACAATGATACTATGCTCCGAAACCCAGGGTCTAGAATGAAAGATATAGAAATGGTGTACAATGGAATAAGAAAAAGCACCTGTTAGAACATTGAACTCCGCTTTTTCGACAAGACATTTGCGTAGTCTTTATCATTGTCTCCAAAACGGATACCAAAAATGCTCCGTCTTTCCTTCAACCTGGGCGCCGGCGGCCTAAGTCCTGGAGCCCCTGCTACCAAAGGATTCGGCTGAGGCGGTTGCGGTCTTGTGCTGGAACTGAACCACGAAGGCGTAGATATTGAAATAGATGGGTGGCCTTGATGATTGGATTGAGACGGCCGTGGTGGCAACACGCTCGGGGGTGGACGCGCGGAGTTTTGAGGATTGACAGTAGATTTCTTCTTGCGCGACTTACTATCCTCTTTGCCGTATAGTTTCTTGAGTCGTTCTGTCTCTTCGTCGATCTGCGCCTGTCTCCTTCGTTTCTCGCGTTCTTCGGCTTCTAGGAGCTTTTTAGTTTGTTTCTCTGCCTCCTTTTCCTTCTGTCGCCGCTCGCGGGCTTCAATTTCGGCTTGTTGTTTCAGACGTTTTGTTTCGGCATCGATCTCCCACTGGGAGCGTGGATCTGCTGGTGGTGGGCGTGCCGCATGTACTGGCTTTGCCGTTTGCCGCGGAGGCATCAGGGGAGGGTTCTGTTGGCTGCTTTGTGCCCTTCCAGCAAGATTACTTTGAACGGATGCCCCGTTTACTGGTACTGCGGTACTTGATGGTTTCGAATCCGCAATGATACTAGGAGTCGGGGGGTCCGTGATGTTGAAGCTAGTCTTTAGGTGACCAAAATAGACATCGCGGATTACTGCCGCTCCTAATAGCAAAACGACCTCCAGGCCTTTGAAGTCTTCCATTTCTACACGGTAAAAATTAGGCTCATATAGCGTGACTTCTTTGAGGCCTTTGAAGATTGAGATGGTGATATCAGGCTCTTTACTCCGTTTTCTCGCATCATCAAGGAAGGCTGTTTTCCCGGTAAGATAGCATGTAAGGTCCTTGGAGAATTTGCCATCTTTTTGCCAGCTAAATCTCAGCTTCGGGGTCACGTCGGACGCTGCGGGGTCGTTTAAGGTACGGTCTACAGCAGAGGCTGAGGGACGACGGAAGGTCTGCTGGGGCATTTCAAAGTCCCACGACGCTGGAGCGTTCCATGATTTCGGTTTATGACGCACCAAAACCTGCTGCTCCGGATTGTATAGCTGGATAATGAACTCACTTGGAAGTATCGGTTCGGGGGGTGGGGGTATGCCGCCATTCTGCCGGATGGCCTCCTGTGAGAGTGAGGGCTGCGTCCATTTCGGAATCAACAGCACTTCAGCATAGAGAATATCTGGGCAAAATGCGTCATAAAATGCGACAGCGTATCGATTCTTCGACCCCGGCAGCGCCGGGTCTAGACGACGGACGGAGTATGCGGGCGTTGGCTCTTCCCCTCCCTGGCAGAAGTAGTAAATGGACTGGTACTTTGGTTTCTCGCTTGACGGCTTGATGTAGAATGCTATGGAAAGGTCTGTTAGCCAACAAGATTCCTAGGATAGGCAGGGTTGCTCACTGGGAAGGTTTTCATCAAGCATGTTGAACGGCAGCCTTTCCACTTGACGGTTGATGGCACATGGACGATGGCAGACGGAATAGTCAAGCTTCCTCAGATACAAAGAAAGCGGGAAGCTGACTAGCCAGTCAACCAGGTGTCTTGCTTCCAAATTGGATTTCAGAACTGAAGTGCACTGGGGCCAGAGGCGTGTTGAATGTGATACGGCCTGTGTCTGCGATCAAGCCTTAAGGTTGGGGGCGTCGTCACCACATGATTGGGTGACGTGAGCTTGAACTGTGCCGTCTATTTTTAACTTGAAAGGTGGGGATTCAGTTAGCTAGGTCAGTTAACTAGTTAACTAGTTAGTCAGTTACTCTGTAGTCAAATCTAGCAGTTTGACTTGTTAAGATGAAAGTTTAGGGTGGGAGCAAGAAGGCAAGGACTCCAAATATCCGAGTGCTGGATAACTATGAAATAACTTGTTCAATTCCTCAATGTTCTGGTGTTGAGCCCAGCTAGTTATCTTGTCTATCACAAGTGAGAGCTGACAAATCACTAGTTAACTAAAGGAAAGCATTCATCCTTGAGCATATCCACCAATATATGTGCGACAATTTGCAGAAACACCCCTCAGTGCGATACTGAATATGGTGACACCGCAACTGGCTTGCTGTTACGGGCGGAGTAACTACCTCCATCAACAACCAGTTTTGTCAAACCCCGTCTCGCGCCTCCAGATCTCCTTTTTAAACTCTTGACTGATAGTCAAGCCTACATACTCCGTACACCGTACGCCCTAATTCTTGGTCACTACGAAGATGTTTGGACGATTCAAAATTTTCAAACTGTCTTCGGACGAGTCCAAATCGACATCCCAAAAGCCTCCCTCTACTAGTACTAGCAACCGTGGCCCTGGGGCTAATAGAGCGGGTGAAGTCAAAATCGAGCCGAAGGGGTTGTATATCGTTCTGTGGAACACCGGGATGCCCGACAAATACCACTGGGGCCTTCTCGTTGCCACGGATCACGAATCCGGGATCCTCTTCCACCAGACTTTGATCGGATTTGACTGGAAATATGTGGTCGAAACGAAAAACGTTCAATATTCCAAGAGCTTGCTTGTTGCATTGAAGGTCGGTGCCGTTGAGAGCATTGATGACCAGTGGATCGCTGCCATCAAGACTTGCGTTCGCGAAACCAAAGTGACTGGGCTCTTTACCTGCCGTACCTGGGCTATGGCCGCACTTTTCGACCTTGCCGATGGAGGATTCATTGGGTTGTCGCCTGAGTGGCCGAAGATTCAGGAAATCGAACAGGAAGCGAAAGACTTGGGCATTCATGCGTATTACGGGGGAGTTAAGACTGTCACACGAAGCGATTTGACTACGGCTTAATAGTCAAAGCACTGCTTTTCTTGACTGCTCCATAGGCCCACCAGTTAGTTAGTACAAGCAAAGTTCCTGGTCGATCCAATATACATACAATCATGATGTAGTGAGCAAAGGGGTGTACTAGGGTAGTAGGGTTTGTTATAAGGACCTTTTGCTGAATTGTGGACTAGTTGCTATGATATTGCCATAACCAGTTAGTTAGGTTTGTTAGTTTGGTTATTACTCCTTACTTGGACTATGTAGTTGGATATATTTGGTTCTTTTTTCGTCTGTTGTCTGCCTGTAACCACAATTCCATTTACAAATCCAAAGTTGGATTGTCCTTTATTAATTGCCCTCCGCTTTTGATGCTGTGCCTGATGGGCTCAAAGCATGGATGAAGCGTTATATGAAGCAGAGACTGACGTTGACAGGCTGCTCAGATCCGCAAGAGAGACCATCGACTCTGCCCAACTCTCGGCAATTGAGCATTTCCAGTTGGGGCTTCTTCTTACCTACACTACATTCAAGGCTGGCGCTGCGCAGTTAATTTTGAAAGCCGCCCATGAGCCTGGCAAATGTGTCGAAGATAACCTCAGATCAGTGAACCGGGCTTTCCAAACCCTGGCGCAAAAATGTAAACCAAATGAAACCCCATGTCCGATTTCGCCTAGAATACCTTCTAATTCTATGGCAGTCTTGCCCAATGATCATGAAGTACCTGTAGAGGCTGATGCCGCTCTGCGCGAGAGAGAAAACGGCCGATGTTGCGTGTCGGGCCTGGACAGTGGCCTTCAAGCTACGTATATTGTGCCGCCCCAAATCGTGGATGATCCCGATTTATTGCCTGGAGTATGTCTCCTTCGCTTCAATCAAACTATGTACTTACTGGAAATGTTAGGGAGCCTTGCGACCTCATCTCGACGCTGTTTTATCCCCGGAGACTTCAAATGAACTGTTCTTGCTCTTAAAATGCTATAGTCAGGAAAATCAGCTGAAAAATCTATGGCTAATGTCTCAGCCTGTAAGAGCAGCTTTTCGAGATGGAGGAATAAGTATTCGAAAGATCCATACCCGTTCTCGCGAGCCACACGTTAGCATCTCCTCGAATCCCTTTTTGCGTAACTACGGATTCTAACCTTAAGCGTGCTAGTGGAATGTCCGAAAAAGCCATTATGGAGACTCCTCGGTAACTGGACTTTATGACGAGAAATTTTACGCCCAACCATCATCGTCAGATGAAACCCGTTTGCCCCTGCCAGAAGGCTTTTTGCTTGATGTTCAAAAAGCATTTGCATCTATAAGACGTCTCCAATCCTTTGAAGAGCAAGTCCAAAACGGGCTGCCGAAGGTACCAGAAGGTCTGGCTTACGTCGATGTTCCCTTTCTGCGCATTTTCAAATTCTGCAATTCACGGGGTTGACTCATCTATAGATGAACGGCGCCTAGGAAAAATCGGCGTCTCCTTCCTGCGAGCTCTTGCTATTATATTACCAGCTTTCTTGCTATCCGCAATTTACAATTTGACTGTGAAGGCAGTGGCCCCTTCAAAGCGAAACTGGGTTGCTCGCGTCAAATTTCTCCCGTTCGGCCTCTGCTTGAAATATGGTGGGAGCGTTTCCAAAAATGAGGCTAATGCCCTATTGCTTGTTGAGAAACATACGACCATCCCCGCTCCTCAATTAATTGATTTCACCCGTGACAAGCATGGGACTGGATTCTTGTTGATGACAACAGTGCCAGGGATACCAGCCGAAAAGGTTTACTATTTAATGACATATGAGGAACGGGAACAACTTGCAAAAGATTTGGGAAAATGTGTCTCTCAATATCGCCGCATCAAGAATTGCCATCGCAGTCTTATTTGCGACACTACTGGTGGTCCGATTACAGACAATCGAATTGGTCATATTCCATACGGGCCGTATGCAACTAAAACCGCTTTTTTGGATGACCTTACCGAGGGGCTCGAGGAGCTTCGGAGGGAACGGCCACTTTCACTACTTTACGAAAAGGAACATGAAATTTGTTTCACTCACTCTGACCTGCACCTCGCTAACCTCCTTCTCGATGGGGGTCGACTCTCGGGCATTGTTGACTGGGAGAATGCAGGGTTCAAACCCGAATACTGGGACTACACGAGAGCGGTGTGGGTAAATATGAGCAGCAAAAGATACGCCCACCAGCTCCGCCTTGCATTTGACAAGGACTATCAGGATGAATTAGAAGCGGAACGACTATTGTGGCGCTTGAAACCAGTATATTAAGTCGATTTTGTGACTTCAGCGTGGCTAAGCACTCGGGAGTTGATCAAAACAATGTATAATATTTTCTTGTCTCAGCATCTCTTTTCCACTTCTACTTGAAACTACAGACAGCCAATATGCTTCTTCTGGCACTACGCTCTCTATTTCAGAATATCTGTTAAATCGAAAAGACGGTTCAGGCATATGCGCCGGGGCGGGTCATGGGTTGGTTTTCGAGATACACAATCAACGCATTCTAGCAAGCATGCTACCCGTTGTACTCGGTCTATTGCACCCTTGCCCCTGCTCACGGCCCTAGGAAAAGGGGACTGCATCTGCAGCTACTGAAATCCCTGGGACCAATGACTTGCCCAAGTACGGAGTACCTTGCCTGATATCGCGGATGGCTACCCAGAGACTGCGGATTTCCACTTCGCCCCTGGCATGGGCGATTGGTATGTATGTATGTACAGCAAAGTATGTAAGCGCATGCCGGACGGCTGTCTTGATTTCCGCTGCTTCCAGGGGTACGATTTCATCCAAGCAGGTAGAAATCAGACATGTCTGAGCACCCGTGGGGGCCTTTACTAGGTAATTCAGCTTGGCAATGTATGCGGAAGGCCATAAGGAATCCGTTGGCGACACACATATGGAGGATGCACACCCCTCACAGGCAGGGCCAAACAACCAGGTTTCTGCCTCGTAATCCGTTAAGGCGAATATGCGATGTTCCCGAACGGACTCGAGCTTCTAGCCACGCGGAATCATAAGACTAGATGCGTACTCTGTATCCCATTGGGTATGTTGATAGCAAATAACCAGTGCCCAACCAAATGTTTGGCACTACATAGGCCGAGACTTGCTTTGCTCGTGTATATCTCCGGAGAGCGAGATAGTTAGCTCGTTGACTACCGAGTACGGAGGGGGTATTAGTTATATCTCGAGTGACTCGCAGATCACGATATCCGGGTAACTTATCGGCTTGCTGATGCTGTACCACGTCAGCGAAAATTGCCAGCATTCCCAACAGGATAGCTTCATGTCTATGGAAAATCCGCGGTCCAAAACCCCACGCGGAAGCAGGAATCTCGGTTTGTGTGTCAGTGCTGCGGCCAGCTCTCGGCTCCAGAGCCTGGCTGCATGGAACGCGGCCCGCGTCGTATCAAAGTTTGAAAAGCGCCTGCCAACCGTCCGTGACATGCTTTAGCCCCGGAGCCACTTTGACGGCATTCGTCTAAAAATGGGAACGGAGAATATGTCAAAATCCATGGCAAACCGTGAGCCAGATGGACATGTTGGGCGCTGATGGAACATGCGCACGGAATTGCCCGACCTCACTCCGTATGTAACCAACTGACTAGTTGCCGATAGTTAACGAGCTTCACCAGTCTCGATATTCCCACCATATCCACCTCTCGAGCAACAGGAGTCCGTACAACTCAGCTGCTGGATGTTCGATGCATCTTGAACCACTACTGCCGGGATCGACTTTCTGGCACACCACCGCACCGATAACCTCGACGTTGGCCCAAGAACCCGACATCCAGGCCGCGACAAATCCGCGCAGATCCCTGGCCAGTACGACGGCCATTCCATGGGCTCATTCCATGCATGAACCATCCGCTTGGGCGGCTATCAAGTTCGCCGTTGCACACCCAGAAGCTGCTGCCCTTGCGGCTGACCCTCGTCCAGTATCCCGCGTCACAAAGCGTCAGCCTCGGCCAAACCCCAGGTCAGGTTGCGATAAACTAATGGGGAGCACAGATCAAACGTCAGATGGGGGATCCTATGCTAGTCTTTCCTTCTTGTCGCCGCCTTCATACGCAGCTAAACGACTAGCTTGCTTGGTCACCATGCATCCTCTCGCATCGGCTCGCTCCTCCTAAACTCTCTGATCTTGGAACCTCTGGACACGATTCGACCAGATATCCTTGTCAGCTGCAGTGAAGTACGCTATCGCTTAGCATCTCTTTCGGAAAATTTATCTCTTCAGATGATTAGTTACCGGTTTCTCGAATACGATCCCTGGCAACCGATGACATATGCTGATCGCCCGGCATCTTGACAAGAATAGAACGCTTTCTATTCGAGTGTATACCTCTCCAAAAGAGCATTGCGGGGTATGCTGGCGTTTTACAAACTATATGACCAATATTGTGCCCAAAAGAAGGACGTACACGATACCCTGGTGCCTTTTCAGCCGCATTTCGGGGGCCTCGAAGACCAGCATTCAAACATCGATGATCATATGCACTTTCTCCACATGCTTTAAAACAGGCACCGTGAAGCGCTGATCCGATGCCGGTCCCAGTTGGAGGGTGGTCAGCCATTCTCCTGATTGCATCCTACGGGGTCTTGGCCGGATGTATCAACCCGAAGGCCTCTGGCGGCAATCTTTCGAGGAGCCCGAACTACCAAATGGGGAGTATGCGTTTTGTCACTAATGCATGGGCACCTTGATACCATATGCCCCTCCGTGCCGCGCTGTCGGACCAGGAACTGATTCCGCTTTGCTGTGAGGCGGGGAATGCATCATATGGCGTGATGTGCCAGAAACACCACGGTGCCTCAAGGCTCCAGCACTCCATTTGGCAAATGGGAAAGCTTCGCAAGGTGTAGCACGGCACCATTCTTGGGGCTCAGATCTTCGGGAGTTTCCGAAAATTGCAAAAGCACGGGAGGCTTCGAGCACTCCGGGCGTGGAGTGGATTTAGTTGCTAAGATACTGCATTCTGTTTGCTCGGCTGTGCTTTCTCAACGAATCCTTGATATCTCACATCCTTCCCCCTTTCCCCGCCCCTCCTGCAGGTTCATGCAGGCTAAATACAGCGAGACTCCTGGATGTTGTCGTACTGTAACGGACACGGCAAGTGAGACTGCCATTACTATCAAAACCTGTCCCGGTATTATCCTGATTGGTTGCGTAAGTGGCTGCTCTTTCTCAGGTTTCTTCCCACCTGGTTTTCTAAATCAGCCCAGATGACTTGTGAACATGATATTCGGGCTGCAGCTAGCTAGGTCCGTGGCGATGCCCTGTGGAGTTCCGAACGGTTAGCCCCTTTCGAGGCCATCACCTGTTTCAAGGGATGAGGATATGGAGGCGATGGGGGCGGGGCGCATCCCCTCGGGGGCTTTATATTGGGACCTTTCCCCCATTAACAGATACCAATTAGGATCACTTTCGAATTATTTTCTTGTTATCAATGACAGTCTGCGGGATTGAGTTAACAATTGCAAACTCTTTCAGATAACATGTCAGCTGCACACTGTGTTGACGTGATGGGTTCCTTGACCGTCCAAAACAAGCAAACCCGGCTGATGGCCCAAGCCCGGGCCAGTGCTACTTTCAATCCTTACAAGTTAACGTGCATCATTTATAAGGAGTAAGGACAATACCCGAAATCCCATTTATCCGCATGTTTTAACAGTAAGCAACTAGTGAGCAGACTGTCCTAAAGCGAAGAGAGGCGTTCCGCCGAGTCGAAAAAGCCACTGGGACTGCGGATCAATCTAAACTGCCCCGGGAATATGCTGATGTTAGCCGTGAAGGGGTTTATCGAGAAGGAGTACGGTTGGGAACGGCCTCTTTCGTCGATGGTTTACTGCACGATCATGACTTCTTCTCGGGAATGGATCAACGATATACCCTGAGCAACTGCACTCCATATGGCCTTCATTACATGATGTTCATACCCACAATTGAGGAACAGGCTACCTCAGAGCAAGCGGCATATTGGCTTCCGCTTGCAAGATCGGGCACAATCAATGGGGCTTACTGCCAAACAGAGCTAGCGCACGGAACCTTTGTTCGAGGCATAGAGACCACAGCGACTTTGGACACGAAAACGGACGAATTTGTCGTGAACACGCCAACGTTTACGGCGGCCAAATTCTGGCCCGGTGCTATGGCGTCCTCCTGCACCCATGTCATCCTAATGGCAAGGCTAATAATTGCCAGAAAGGATTACGGAGTGCACCCCTTTATAATTCAGTTACGAGACTTGGATGACTTTTCTCCAATGCCGGGCGTCGAACTTGGTGATATAGGAATGAAAATGGGTTATAATGGAACCACCAACGGATATGCCATTTTCCACAATGTCCGTATCCCCCGAGACTGGCTGTTGATGAGGCATGCCAGTGTGGACAGGGACGGCACTTACAACAAGCCCAAGCACGATAAGTTTGCATATCTTACTATGCTATATGCGCGTGCTACCATAGCACAAGGGTCCGGATTCAAGCTCGCACAAGCAGCCACCATTGCGACCAGGTTTTCGGTAGTACGTGAGCAAGGGCTCGGCCCAAACGGTGAAGAGAATGCAGATGGCTCGGAAACGACGATTATTTCCTACAGATCACAGAACTTTCGCTTGTTTACGATAATTTCGAGAGCATATGCAATTCTATTTACAGCTCCTACTCTTGAAGGATTGTATGCGAGCCTTAGGAATGTGGGAGAAACCCAGGACTTTGGTTCCTTGGGCTATTATCATATGCTTCTTGCAGGGTTAAAGGCGTGGAATACTCAAGTCGCCGCTGACGGGACCGAGGATGCGAGAAAATGCTGCGGTGGGCATGGCTACATTCTGACGAGCGGGTTGCCGTCGATTGTCGCTGAAGCCGCGGCTCCGGCCACGTTTGAGGGTGAGAATTATGTCATGTATCAACAGGTCGGCCGTTACTTGTTGAAATGCCTCAAGGTTCTAAAAGTGGGCAGACGAATCGACCCGCGCATGGGCGATCTTGAAAAAGCATTTAACATGTATGCAGGGGGCGATGAAATTCATTACTGCCAAGCGAAAAATGAACAATTCTTGGACCCGGAAGTTCAACTCTCCATCTTCGAGCATCGTGCAATCCGGCTCCTAATCAAATGCGATGAGGCAATTGAAAAGTCACAGAGGAACGGAGGTCTCTCTCCTGCTAAAGCATGGAATCAGCATATGATGGGCATCATCGCCGCGGCACGAGCATACATGGAGCTTGTGGTCCTCCAAGAGTTCATCCACGGAGTCTCTCGAATAAACGACCCTGCGATTAACGCTGCACTCTCTCGACTTCGCTCCGTATTCGCTCTAACCATGATAGTCCATCCCCAGTCCTACGATGCCATATCTTTCGTTGACGGCAACTACATCCGTCGAGACCAACTTGCACAGATATCTTCCTGCGTTAATTACTTGCTAGATGAGCTCTTGCCAGATGCGATTGCATTGACAGACGCGTGGGATTTTACAGATGCCAGTCTCTGCTCGGCGATTGGACAGTATGACGGCAATGCCTATGAAACTCTGATGTCGTGGACGCGCCAACTGCCGATGAATAAGGACCTGAATGAAAAGGGAAGTGCATGCATGGAAGCTTGGGAGAGATGGACCAAGTTGGCTCTGAAGCCTGAACTAAGAGCAATGCTTTGAGTATTATGAGAATTTACGGAGTACATGGTAATGAGTTAATGAGGATACGAAGTCTTTCGGGGTTTGGGCAGTTTGTGACCTCCTTTTCGTTTTTTTTTGCTTTTTTTTGGGTGGGATTTTGGATGTGATTTTGGATGTTGTCTATCGATTAATTCATTACTTTTGAAATTTCCTTTGGAGGAAGCTTTGTCGTCTGTCAGAACTCGATCTTGAGGCAGAGATCAGTGATGGCTTTGAAGGGTTGTGTACTTGTTCACATGAATTGTTGGATGATTTCTATTAGTGAACAACAGCCGATGACGCTCTGGAATAGGCACTTGAATAATTCCGTACTTCTACCCCTTCTCAGCCCGTGCCTCCATGAACGCAAGGGCTGGCTGGGATATTACCAAAACCGCAGTGAGCGCGGACTTGGAAGACAAGAGATACATTTGGTTAGTGGTTTGTGCGACAGAGAAATTTTAAATGAACCACATCATATCACGATGTCAGTATCTATGACCGGGAAGTCTTGGATGCATGTTTCTCCATATCATTTATGGTTGCTGAGGTACGATCATAGCTATACATTGTAATAATGCCAGGTATCCTGCGGAGTCATGGATGCCTAAATCCACCACAGGCAAGACAAACTTGGGACATTAGTCAGAGCGAACTAATGAGGTGCGGATGCGTTGTCGGAAAAGCTATCCCAGGATATACACGGAACCTCGGCACCATTGACATCCCAGTGTGCTCACTGAAGAAGCGGATCCTATCATGAAATGTTAGGGATTCTGAACCAACCCAATAAGAGCATCAAAGTCAGAGAACTGAAAACTTAAAACTCACTCTAAAATGCTTCTGGTGATTACCCTTCTTTGCAACAGCCCACTGAAAGTCGCGTGCCGACCTCTGTTGACGCTTCCGATCTCTCACCTCTGCAGCCTGAACCTCTCGTCGCTGGCTCGACGTGGCACCAAGCATCCCAATACCGCCATTGGCCCGAGAAATAAGAGCGCGATTCTTATTTTGAGAGTCAGCAGCTTCCTCGCCCTCTTGAGATTCACCGGAAGGCCCCGCCTCTATTGCCTGCTGACGTGACAGACGCTCCTCCGGGGTTGGGTAGTGATGGAGGTTTTGTCTGTAATATCTGGCAAGTGACCGATGACCGGCGGTACGACCGGATGGCAAGTGCAATTCAAAATCAGAATAGAAAACTGCATTTGTGTGCTCGTGCGCATGCGAATGGAAGCCGTCAGCGTTACGGTGGGATCGTGGATTATTAGAGTGGTGCTTATGCTTCGAGAGCTTCAAATATTGGTGTGAACGGTCGTCAATCGGGACAGCACCTAACTCATCAGAATCAAGAGATGACACGGACGTATCAGTCTCCCAACCGTCGTCTTCTTCCGCACTTCCATCAGCAGCGCCGTTCCGAGGTTGATCTGACGAATCTTCCTCTCCATCTGAATATGTGCTTGTGAAGTCGTAGAACTGGCCAATCTCGATCATTTCTTCTTCAGATTCAAATGCAATCATACAGTGACCCTTGTCTCTCATATGGGTTTGAATGCCAGGAGTCGTGGTTTTCAGTTTGTGACAGTAAAGACACTCGTTGTTCTGCATGACTTTAGCCTGAAGGTATTTAATCAATCCTTCCAAGTCAACCAGATAATCCTGTTCGGGAATAAACAATCCGTGTGATTTATGCATGTGCGAAATACTCTCATCTATGTCTGTGGAGTTGTGGTTGCAGAAGAGGCATCGAGACACTGTGACTTCGTCGCTGTCTGTTTTGCTGGTTACTGACGGCCGGCGAGCGTCGCTGGTTTGAGATTGGCTTGGCCGGTGTGGTCTGCCCGTCACTGGATCGCTGGCACCAATAGAAGTCTCCTTCATTCCGTCGACGATGGCCGAGAATTCTTCTTCAACAATAGTTTCGGGAGAAACAACATTTGGAGGTATGTTTATTGGCTCTCCCATAGAGAACGCACCACTGACAACGGATGCCGAATCATCCAGATGCCCTCCGTTTTTCCTCAATAACGCTTCCTTGAGTCGGTGCTTTTGGCTTCCCATGTGATTTAAATAGGCATTTTCACTATAATACGTCTTTTGGCATGCTGTGCAAGTTTTCTCAAAAGTTGCTCTAGCAGCGGCAGCTGAATTCGATGCCTGTGCACTGAGAACCTTCTCGGCGAAAGTTTCGGACGACAAGGGAGGGAGGGACGCCACTCGACGTTTCAAATTATATCGGCTGGTGGACACAGTATATCAGTATAGAGCAAGCAAGAGAAAGAACACAGTCGTACGTACTGCCAGTCGCTTCTCATGTGTGTTCTCTGGGCATCGCTGCCACGAAAGGCCACCTGACAGGAGTTGCAGGTAAACGGATGGGTGCCGGGAGCACCCACCATATCTGCGGTGGAAGGCATTTTGAAATCGTAAAACCCGATAGATGTCTAGCTGCGAGTCCAAATGAGCAAAGGGAGAGTAAAGCAATAGTCCCGTTGGAAGAAGAACACAAGACGCAGTGCAGCCCCTCTGTTATCAGTTTATCAGCAATCGAAGTTTGATTTCGCCGCAAAAAATGACGTTTTCTGTGGTCCGCTTACCATACGATACCGCAGCCCTAGCCCGGCTTATGTAAGCAGTCCGTCACTGCTGGAGATGGCCAAAGTCGCGATGCCAGGGCAGGTCGACGAGCACTGCATCCGCGAAACAGCATTGCCCATCATTGCTATCGAGGTCGTCCAACGATGAGATCGACTGAGCCGTGATGACCATATTGCAGGGGAGCGCAAGAGGGTTTTCTGATCCTGGACACAGCTCGGCCGGTGGTGACAGGGCTCTCCACTTCTCGAAGCTTCCGCATGGCACGCCTGATGTTATCCTGAAGAACACCGTGACGGTGAATGATCCCGCGAGGATACTGTCGTGGCACAGGGATGAGCGCCAGCGAAATTTCAATATTCTTGTGAGAAGGTGTGTAAGCTGACTCGCCAAACAACGAGTTGAGTGAACTGACCGTAGTTTGCCCTTTAGGTATAAGAACCAGCTTCTCCACGGGTGCAAGGAACCTAATTGCACCACGCCAACCTGTCTCAGCTTCAGGAGGAGAGCTGCTAATGCTCCCTTTCGGAATTTTAATGATTTGAGTGCTCGAACGCTTGCTTGCTATTTGGCCAGCCAGGATGACCCAGAGGCCGGACTCTGTCGCAATGCGCCGGCAGCGGATTTTGTACACGATGGTCTGCGCTGGACAAATGAACGGCCCCCGCCGCTACTTTCTTCGGGAAGGCGGAAATCCTTCGAGCACATGCACCGTGATCACCGACCTCGAGCCACAAACGGAGAGGATCTGAATCCGAATAAGCCGCGGAGACGAAGCAACGAGCACCTGACCTCAGATAATCATGGGTGTTCAGGCTCGCCGGATGTGATAGCGAGTGATGGTGCGCAAACCCAATCTCAGGAAGCTCCACAGCCTAAGAATTTAAAAGACCCGAAATCGATAACCCAGAATTTATTCGACACGCTCTCAGTTCGAATGGTTGAATGGCTACCGTTGAGGAGGATCCCAGGCTCATACACTTCTCGTTCATTGCCCAAAGGAGGAGATTCACCTGCGCAAAAATCGGCCCCGGACGCCTTGTCCACACCAAAAGAACCCCCAAGAAAGGAAAGGCCAACCAATACTCACAAAACGGCCTTTTCGAGTGACCGGTTACCGCCGAAAACACCTAGTATATCGTCTACGGCTGCAAATATGACTCCTACAACACTCGAAGTGAAAGTCCCGGGACAACCAGTAAAGCGGCTTTCCCTTGGAGAACTCGACCCCTGGAAACAATCGTTGAGACCCATTTCCGACGACATTCCGAAAACTGATAAAAAGTCCTCTCGAAGGCTTGCAACAAGTAATACGCCAACTACAGCCTCACGAAACCTCCCGTCGCCACCTCCTATAAAACATCGATCGCAGAAACATAGACGGAGGGAATGTGAAACGGAGGAAATATATGGGCAGCTTTCCGCTGAACAGCCTATGAGCCCGTCAGCTCGGCCCCGTTTATATTCGGACGGCACCCGTTCGCCGTCTGAACCGTTTTCACCTGCCCGCTCTCCACCTCAACTTCCGACTTTGCACCGACAGCCTCAGTTGGGTCCAGAACCGGAGCTTCAGATTGAAAGTCTTTCCATACTATCGAAGGATACAGTTGACAGCTTGGAGAAGATGATGTTTGAGTCAGAAGAGGACGAAGCGACGTGGAAAAATGAGATGTTTCAGCTGGAATTACGCGGTTATACTGAACCCTGGGACTGGCAATTCGCTACACCTCGCCAAAGACAGATATTTCCATTTGTTACTCAGAGTTTGTTCTTCGTCCTTAGCAACCCAGACCAGCTCCTGCGTTCTTTCCGACCTACTTCTGAAGGCCCTGGCCTTAATAGCCGGCCCAATACACTCGTACATCTGGACACTCAGAACCTAGAGAGCATGTTTCGAAAGCTCTATCGTATTTGCCCTTGGGAAATCACTTTAAATAGCCTATGGATGTGCCTAGAAAAACTTCTTATTCCTCCGAAGGAATTTTCTACCTCTTCTAAAAATCACCGTCGCTTTATTTGGCGCTCCACGGCGAGCAGGGCTGCTTTGCGGAGCAGTGAATCGTGTCACGACCTCCGGCCACCCCAAAACCATGTCTCGGACTCAGATGCTGCTTACATCACTGTCATCGCTCTTTTTGCATTGTCGAGTTCTATCCCTCGGCTGGATCCCCAGACATGGCAAACGATGCGGCGGATTCGTTCTGCAGGGACAGTTCTACCTGATTCTGAGCTGCGAAGGACCTCTGCAGCTGCTAGGCGGCTATTGACGGAGGCTGCGGACAAGTTCGAGCAAAGCTTAGCACTTCGGCTCATGAGCCGATTAGCTCGTGTAATATCCGCTCGTCTTGCATTCTACGAAATTTCGAAATTGAGGACCACCTCGATCCCTGACTTAGGGAAACCTGGATCTTTGAGCCCCTTGGACCTCATCATAAAATATATCCAATCCTGTATCACTCCGACGCCCGGATCCTTGAAGCCGGTATCTAGTGTTCACGAGGTTGGACGCCGACCAACGATGCCCATGGTAGCAGTGGAATGGCTTAAGAGTCTGCTACTGAATGAATGGGATGGAAGGCCTGAGTTGCTGAAGTCTGGTGCTGCTGGCGGCGCTTTGCAACTACTGGCTTCGCTGTACCAACATAGAGCCAAACTGGGTTTATTGCCAGAGGATTTTCACACTCTTTTTTTATTCGAGAGGTTAGACCCTATGGAAATGCCAGTGCAATGGCTTACGTTTGTCTCCAATAATCGCACAGTACACCTTTTGTCGTATCCGTTCATGTTTCCTCCGTCTTCCCTGGTAACATATTTTCGCTCTCTCAACTATTCCGTGATGTCCAAATCTTACGAAACCGCGATGACTACGTCTCGACATGTGACCCAAACTGCCTTTTCAAATACTATAACAATAGATGACGACATTGGCCTACTTGCGAGGCTCAAGACGTCTATCTCGTCATATCTGTGCCTTGTTGTTCGACGTGATAACGCATTGATGGACGCTTTCAACCAGGTATGGAGACGCGAGAAGCGGGAGCTCATGCGACCACTTAGAGTATCCATGGGGATGGATGAAGGGGAAGAAGGTCTCGATCATGGGGGAGTTCAACAGGAATTCTTTCGCGTTGTAATGGCCGAAGCCCTGGACCCTGCTTATGGGATGTTTACTTTGGAGGGCCGAGATCATATTTCTTGGTTCCAGCCGTGTTCTTTCGAACCCCTGTACAAATTTGAGCTGCTTGGTTTACTAATGTCTCTTGCTGTTTTCAATGGTCTCACTCTTCCCGTTAACTTTCCACTCGCCCTTTACATGAAGCTACTTGACCGCAAAGTCAAGAAGCTCGAACATATCAAAAACGGGTGGGACGACTTGGAAAGGGGGCTTGGTGAGCTTCTCTCATGGAGTGATGGTGACGTTGGCGACATTTTCATGAGAACATATGAATTCAGTTTTGATGCATTTGGAAAAATTGTGACAGTGGACATGACCACAGTGGACCGAAATGACCCGTGGCCTTCTGCGGAACGAGGCGTGACTTGGAATAGAACCAGGTTCAAATCATTCGCCGCTTCCTCGGATAGCGACGCCACGGAGAATTTTGATTTACCTGAGCATGGAATGTCAATGCTCCAGGATAGCGCGGGCGACCATCGTTCGAATCGCAAGGACGGGCATCTGTCAAGCATTTTAAAGGGATCCTCATCCAAACCACGAGAACGACGTGTCCCTTCCCCTCCGGAGCACGAAGCACCGCTTGTTACGAATGCCAATCGAGAACAGTTTGTCAGGGATTATATTTTTTGGCTCACCGACAAATCTATTAGGCCGCAATATGAGGCTTTTGCTCGTGGTTTTTATACATGTCTAGATCGAACGGCTCTCTCACTTTTCACACCCGAAGCCCTGAAGACCGTAATCGAAGGGATCCAGGAGATTGATATGGACGAGCTCGAGAAACACGCACGTTATGAAGGCTTCCAGCCACAAGACCAATTCATAAAGCACTTTTGGGCAGTTGTCAAGAGTTATACCCAAGAGAAAAGGAGCCAGCTCCTGGAGTTTGTTACTGCCAGCGACCGAGTGCCAGTTAACGGAATATCTAGCATTTTGTTTGTCATAATGAAAAATGGCAGTGGTGACGAGGTACGTATGCATTTGACGTGATCTAGCGGGTGAGGCTAATCGTTTTGCTCAGCGGCTTCCGACAAGCTCGACGTGTTTTGGCAGGCTTCTACTCCCGGAATATTCTTCCCGCGCGGTATTAGAAGAAAAGCTTGATAAGGCGCTCGAGAATTCTAAAGGATTTGGCGTTGCATAAAAGGAGACTATGTTTTGAGAGACGGTGTCATGTTGGTACGCCGTAGATATGTGATTTCTCACGATTTCCCCGGATTTTGTTTTTCGATTTCGATTTCATGCACGCATCAGCGGAGGTTTATGTCATAGAGGTTAAAGAACTTATGAGCCCTAATACTATTTGCATGCTACGGCGTTCTCTTCTCTGTTATATTCATAAAAATCTCCGTACCCAAAATTCGATTTCCACGCCACCCGGTGGATGACTCAGCAACCGCTTCTTACTGCCGTGCCTGGCCAATCAGCGACGGCATCCGTCCCAAGTCAAAATCACCGCAATTTTCGTGACTCTTGCGGTCTGCCTTCAAATCGTGGAGTCGTGGTCCCAACATTTCTGTCACTCTTTTCTTCTTGGGATTATTTTTATAGTTACTGGTCTGTCGACTCGGCAAGATCCTACTGTTGAAATAATTATATATTCTGTCCCCTGGTTCAAATCCCTTCGCGGAGCTCTCACCCCCCCTTCTCAACCCCGCAACCCCTCTACCGATAAGGGCATCAGAGCAGGGGTAGTGTAAATACTTTTTTTTGCCTGCGCGCAGCTGCACTTTTACTCGAAGCAGGAGGTTTCACCGCACGCGGACCGCGATCCTTCGTTACATCGTCTAGAACTCAAAGCCGAAGCTCCGAGTCGACACCCTAGCCCCCGAGATGTCACCCGTCTTACATTGCGTCCGCCATGCTCAGGTATAGTCGGCTTGAAAACAAATTATTCTGCAATTTTTTTTCCCTATAACTGATGCCTATTTTTTCTCAACCAGGGCTACCACAACCTCAACCATGCTAACCATATCCTTCCCGATCCTCTCCTGACACCCCACGGCGAAACTCAATGCCGAAATCTACTCGTGAATTTCCCCTTTCATTCAGAAGTCGAGCTGATCGTTGCATCACCGCTCCGAAGGACCATCTACACTGCGCTGTTGGTGTTTGAAGTGCCGTTGCGGGAGAAAGGGCTAAAGGTCGTCGCTTTGCCGCACCTTCAGGAAACGAGCGATGTGCCATGCGACATCGGCAGTGACCTAGAGGCGCTGGAGAAGGAGGTGAGGGAAAAGGACCTACCGGTAGATCTCTCCTTGGTGATGGAGGGCTGGAATGATAAGGTGGGTGACACCAGCTGTTCTTGTCTTAGAGGAACTGGGACAGAGACTTACAAAGGTTCTTGCAGACTCAACCGAAATGGGCCCCAGATGCTAAAGCCATCTCGTCCCGTGCACGTGAAGCGCGCAGATGGTTGAAGGCAAGGACAGAAAAGGAAATCGCCGTGGTATCTCATGGTGGCTTTTTGCATTATTTCACGGAGGATTGGCAAGATAGTACACTATATACAGGTATGTTCCGGCTTTTTCCCTTTAACCCGACCTTTACCGTACCTGTGCAGCGGTGTGGTTGGCGCTTATACCACTGAAAACGTTTCCCCTCCCCTATATTGCCCTTTCGTATTCTCATCCCCTTTCTGCCAACTTGAGAAAAAGGAAACCATGGCCAACTTCTCATCTTTCTTTGTTCGTTCTACGTACAAAGTCACGAAGAAAAAACCTAGTCCGAATAATTATACTAATGTCCGTCCGTCGCCCGTCTGGCCAGGCACCGGCTGGGCAAACACCGAATTCCGAACCTACGAATTTACCTCTACCATTCACGATGATGACCTATATGGGCACAAGATCGACGGTGACAATGCCTCCATTATGGAGACCGTTGACTCGAGAAAACGCCGTGGCAGGGCGGGTGAGCCCGCTCCTCGGGAACTTCAGAAGCAGTTCTTCATCCAGGCGATGACGGGCTGGGAGAACCAGATAATACAGAATGCGGCGAAGGAGTACGAAAAGGAAGAGATCAAGCAAAAGCAACCTATTCAAGTGGATTCGAATTGATCGATGGGCAAGGAAATTAGCTATACTCTGCGGCGCGGGGTTTTGCTTGTTAGTACTCTAGACAACTCTAGACAAACGGCCAATAGACATGATAGAAGACGATGCCATGATAGACTCATAACTTGGGATTTGCCAAAATATACCCAGAACAATTTGATATACGCTTTGAGCACAGTGATAAAACGTGACGTAATTATCCCGGGGGTGCTGATGTCAGCAAAACTGCCAAGAACCGGCGGCTGTGAGGCCGGCAGAATCTGCGCGGCGGCTCGCTGTGCTACAAGGCCAGGTTGTCAGAGTCGAAGCCAAGGGAGGGAGCGGGAGGTTTCCAATAGGCGTAGAGTGTTGCGGATTCGTAGCAAAGCAGCATTTTGGGATTCTTGGTGGGATGTGCTGCCAGCTCTTCTCGACAAGTCCTCAGGGCGGTGAAAAGTTTATCATCGGATCTTATCTCACCTTGAGGGCCGAGCGGTTAATCGCGGCCCTTGGAGCCACGACGTTGAGATGCGAAACCGAAGCTATTATTCCCACCTGCGGCCTCCCAGAGACGGAAATTTGTAGAAAATACACACCTGGCATCAGAGGCTTGGGACACCTCGTCGATATATTTTTTGGGTAGCTAGGGAACAAAACACCAGGAAAATGGCTTCCGCGCGTCAATCCTCTCGACGGCTTCTGGGCTCTCTAAGTCCTCGTCGCCCATATTCATCGCAAGCTCCTCCCGGCGCACGGCTCAACCTCCCCATCGACTACAAGGCGACTCCCCTTCTGCATCACTCGGCGGCTACACTCTCGAATAACTCAGAATTACCGAAAAATGCGTCGACGAAACGATTGAATCTATATCAGTCTATCAACTCTGCTCTCCGGACGGCCCTTTCCGCCGACGAAAGGGTACTGCTGTTTGGCGAAGATGTCGCATTTGGTGGCGTCTTTCGATGCTCCGTGGATCTGCAGACGGAATTTGGGTCTGAGAGAGTGTTCAACACTCCGTTGACTGAGCAGGGTATTGTGGGATTCGGTATTGGTGCGGCTGCAGAAGGGTTCAAGCCCGTAGCGGAAATTCAGTTTGCGGATTATGTCTTTCCGGCTTTTGACCAGCTTGTCAATGAGGCTGCGAAGTTTCGCTTCAGAGAAGGTGCCACAGGTGGAAATATTGGCGGTTTGGTTGTCAGAATGCCCTGCGGAGCCGTCGGGCACGGTGCTCTGTAGGTGGCCCTTCCTGGCGAATTTATGCGGTATACCTAGTGATACGCTACTAATATACACTACCACCAGATACCACTCTCAGTCACCAGAGTCTTTATTCACTCATGTCCCCGGTCTGCGGGTTGTCATGCCACGATCGCCCACACAAGCCAAAGGTCTCTTATTAAACGCTATCCTCAACTGCAATGACCCGGTCATTTTTATGGAACCGAAGATTCTCTATCGCGCTGCAGTTGAGTACGTGCCAACAGAATCGTACTATCTGCCATTGGACAAGGCGGATATTCTCAAACCTGGAAAGGACCTCACAGTCGTTTCGTACGGCCAACCGCTGTATCTCTGTTCTGAGGCTATTGCCAAAGCCGAAAAGGATTTTGGTGCAAGCATTGAGCTTATTGATCTGCGAGCAATCTACCCGTGGGACCGTGAAACCGTGCTCGAAAGTGTCCGCAAGACCGGCAGGGCGATAGTTGTCCACGAGAGTATGATGAACTCTGGTGTCGGGGCTGAGGTTGCTGCTACAATCCAAGAGGGAGCATTCTTGAGACTGGAAGCTCCTGTGAAGAGAGTTACCGGCTGGGGCACACACTGCGGTTTGATCTTCGAGAGGTTTAACTTGCCAGATATTACAAGTATGTTTCGGCTACCCCTTTCCTTCTCCGGCGTACTTTTTCTATGATAGTTTGACTGACTCTTTCAACCAGGAATATATGATGCTATCAAGCAGACGCTTCATTACTAAGGGATATCTTTGCGTTTTAAACTTGCATTTGTAAAATGAAGGTAGGGGGCACTTTGAATTCCCTGCCGTGTGAATGGGAGGCATAATGGCTTCAAGTGGCCATGTACATGTTGTTGTTTTACCTACAGAATCGGGTGTACTTTAACCCTGTTGGCAAGCTTTGTTTTTCAGTTCCTAGGAAGATACCATAAGTCCCGTTGACGGGATCTCCCTCTATATGACGCGGATAGAGCCGAATGGGATAGAGACTAGTATTTGAAGATTTCAAAAGTTTCAAGCTTAGTATCAGTCACAAAACATGTACTTCTGACGTTACACTAGTAGCGGGCTTGTAATGTGGTCACCTTCATTTACATGACATCTTTGTCCAGGCCTCTGACAAGTGAATGATATCAGTGGCATCATTTGGTGAAAGGAATCCTGTTATGTCAGTAGCCTTCACACGTAAAGGTGCCTATTGCCCTGTCACCTATGAATATTCAAGGAGTTCATAGGCAGGCTTTGATTTGTTTTGCATGTAATGTGCGTATTGTAAATTTTTGTGGTGTCACTGGTTTGGAGGTTTCCGCCCACTAAGCGCGGAGCGGAAAGTTTAATTTAACCAACATCAAAGGTTCCGCCGGCCACACAAACAACCACATACACAACAAATATTAGATATCCATCATGTTTGTAGCTGCCGGAGGTTCCTTCAAAGGCATAATCATATAAAAGAGTAACAAGGGCCTTTGATCCTCCCATGTAGATTTAAAATATCGCTGGTCCCCAATATCTCGCAGCCCCTGAGCGTGGCATCTGGGGGCGGTCTGGTCGCTGCAATGGAGGGACACCCAAGCCAGCAGATATCAAGCTGGGACAGGCTCCTGTCGGAGAGTTCCGTCAGACTTGGAGGAACACATCGGAAATTCCCATTCTTCAACGCGTTTCTGTGACAGCCGTACTGTCACATAGCTTGCTTGTTGACATCACGTAACGCACTAAGTGAAAACTTGCCAGCAGCTCTGCCCCTCTATAAGATCCTCCTTCTCTTTCACTTTCTCTTCCTCTTTCTTCTCTCTTTCTTTCTTCAAGTTCTCAAGATCCTACTCACTCTCACCACAGCTTTACAGCTTCCTCACTCATATTTAGCCACCACTCAAGCTTCAAAAGCTTTTTACCTTCTCCCTTTTTTACCCTCCCTCCCTTGAGAACTTTTCTCCCTCTTTCCTCTCGGATCGAAATGGGGTTCCACGATCTCCTCAAAACGATCGCGTTGTTCATCCTCGTCGCGGGGATGAACATGATCGTGGAGTGTCCGTTGCTGGAGACCCCTCCGGAGGAATGGACCTTCGTTGACTTCGAGGCGATTGGCCTCTGGCTTTTCAACTGGGTCATGTTCATCGCCGTGGCGATATACTGCCTCAGCGGCCTATGCTCCGGCATATACAGGCTGCTGCTTCCGTTAATCAAGGCAGTTGGCGTCGTGGCTCGCACCGTGACAACTCTCGCGAGCGAATGCTCGAAGAACGGTGCAAAGGGTGCAGTTTTTCTGGCCCTGAACATGGCCCGCGTAGCTCTGCTACGTCCATGGGCCAGTCGCTTCATCACGAACTTGGTCCTTGGTGACGAGATTGCAATCGTCACCACCCTTGTCGTAAGTTATTCCATTCTTTAAATTTGATCTGAAAAAGAAAAATGCTAATACGTTAATACTTGTAGCTACCAGTTGCGCTGTACGTCGCAAAGGTCAAACTTGGTGGCCCGTTGTTCGCTTATATCTCCGGCTTCATTGCTGGAATCGTCACCCCGGTTGATGTGGATTTGGAGGGTTGCTCTTATAGCGCCTCGTCCACCAACCAATATAAGCAGAACCGAAACCTTGTGACCTATTGCAAAGGGTCAGACGATGGCTTCGACGCGCTAACTTGGTGGAAGGAGCTCCAGGAAGATGCGACCTCAGTAAGGACCTTCAATCTTGCGAAAACGCAAAACTTCCTAGAGATTACTGACCAAAATAATTTTTTTTAGACCTGGGACTTTTATCTGCCCATTTTTATCTACTCGGTGGCCGCCATGTTCTGCGTGTTTATACTCGCAGTCCTCCTTACGAACCGAGAGACACGGGGCCAGAAAAGTACCCAGACCGATTCCACTGGGGACCTGAAGGAAGACAGCACCGGCTTGTCAGAAAAGGTCACCCAGCAGCTTGCGCGAATCCAGGAACTCGAGGGTTGCAGGGCCCTCTCTGAGTCTACTGTTGAAGGTCTCAAGGGACAGATTCAGCTGGCGGACCGCAAGGTCCAACAACAGATGATCGAACTTGAAGGCCTGAAGTTGGCAAAGAGGGAACTGCAGGCGAAATGCCAAACCCTCACCGAGAGGCTGTGCTTGGGGTCTCACGACTCTGATCTTGACCAGATGCACCAGCAACTAGGGCAAGAGAAAGGGTTGAGACTCCTTCTTACGTACGGCTACGTCGCGCTTCGACAACTTGCTGGCACCTTTGCCGAGTCGGGCCTTGGTGAGCACCTGCTCAAGTTCATTCGTGGAATTGAGCACCAGTGCGAATCCTTGGCTACCGCAGGTGCCGAATCGTTGGAAGAGGTGCAAAAGACACTCGGTAGCAGGTTACTGGCCCTGCTCAAAGAAGCGGCCGAGCATGCGTCAGAGATTCGTCTGACCAGAGGCAACAACACCGGGCGTTTTGCCAATGAGAATGCTGTGCTTTTGAAGCGCAAGCTTCGAAAGTGCAAACGCCATATGCGCTCTGTGAAGGCGAGTCTTGCGGCTCAAATGGCCCAAGCAGGGATGGTTCAAGGGACCAACTGGCTGATCAGCCAAGAACGCATGAACGAGGAGCTTGACGGCTACAAGCGAGACATCCTCAATATGCGTCGGGAGCTCAACGAAAGAGAGCAGAAGTTCATGTTCTATGAACAACAGCTTGCAGAGTCCCGGGCCCTGACCGAGTCAATTAACCAGGGCTTCGAAAAGGCGATCGCCGAAAAGGAGGCTGTGCTTCAAAAGCTCCGCGAGGAGCAGGCGAATTCCCTCCAGAGAGCGGAGGCTCTACAGGAGGAGATAGCACAGAAGTCCAAATTGCTGGAAAGCCAGAGCCAAGAACTCACTCGCCTTTCAGAGAGTGAGGTGGCCGCCAAAGGTCGATCCTTGGAGTTCGATATCAAGTTAGGCACGGCCAACCAGCAATTCAGCGACGAGGGTCAACGACGAGGACAATTCCAGGATCAACTGGACGCCGTCACTCGACAACTGTCCGCAAAGGACAGGGAGTTGACCCAAGTCCGGGCTATCTCCAGTCTCTGCATCAAGTGCAAGGGAATCGAGGCGGAGATGCGGGAGCTTGTCAAGAAACACGCCGCGGAACGAAAGGAAGCTGGTAGTGCGCGGGCTAATGCCGTTGCAGACCTCCATGTCCAAATCATCCAGCAGGAGGACACAATCAGCGACCTTCGCGGCAAGCTCCAGCATGCCGAACAAGAGCTCGGTTCTTCGATCGACATCGTCGCAACCCAAAGAATCGAAGAACTCGAGCTCCAAGTCGAGAATTTCAAGGTCCAAGAGCAGCAGCAATCTGGTACGGAGATGGCGCTGCGCAAGGAAATCCAGGACCTCAAAGATCGACTTGAAAAAGTCGGCAGGGAACAAAGCAGCAGGAGGGCTGTTGGCTCGGTCTTCGCGGACCCAAATAAGGCACGAGCCAACAAACTGCAAAAGGACGTCCTGAACCTCCGGCAAGAGGCCAAGGTGATGGACATCATGAGAGACCGGCTCGCAGAGGAGATCAGAGTCCTCAAGTCGAAATACGAGCCCGACAACCTCAACTGTGAACCGGAGACCCCGCTGACGGTCACCGAGTTACAGCAAGTCCTCCAAGCGGAGAAGGAGTCCCAGGACCAACTCGACGCATGAGGACTTGAGCACAGGTTGGACAATCCATCGAGAATTCGCTCCCAGGTGAAAACCTTTGCGCCGAGCGATTCACGAACACCTCGTATCCTGATCTCCGACAACTATCGAGCTCCCATCGCCGTTGAACTTCTCGCTGACTCAGCCATCATCCTCGCAGAAGTTCAATGCTTGCTTTGTCTCTCTCTCCCAGCTTTGTTCCCTCTCCAGAACGCATCTTCCAGTTCAGCTTCCGATTCGCTTGGACGGACTGTCTCAGCATTTCTCAGTTTGGTGATTGCGCATCTTAACCCCCCCTTTCCGATCGCAGTCCCACTGAGATTCGAGCACCGACCGGTCGACCCTCCGCAGCAAGCTACCGCTAGAACCTTGTTATTACGTCGACGTGCGAATCACGATATTACATATCTTTTTACCAGAACGGCCTTTTTATACCGATACATCGAACGCCGCGGTTATGAAATTGTTTTGACCTGTCAGAGAAAGCGGACTATCGATGTATATCAATCATGTGGCCCGCAGATACCTTGGTTTGGGGTTAATCAAGCTACTTCTGCCACTCCTTGCCAAACTTCCGATCGCGACAGCAGCTCCAATCCTCAATTCAGCTTTAGTGACATCGGAGGAAGGCCAACCAGCAGATGAACCAAGTTTCTGGCTGTACTTGGGGGTTGCAACGGCGTTGGTTGTTGCTGGTGGTGCTTTTGCAGGCCTGACTATTGCCCTTATGGGCCAGGTAAGTCGGCTCCAATTCGAATTTAGATTATACATCTTAGCTAACGATATTTTGCTTACTAGGATGAAATTTACCTGCAAGTGATCAAGACATCTGGCGAAGGCCCCGAAAAAAAACACGCGGAGAAAGTGTTGAACCTACTGAAGAAAGGAAAACACTGGGTCCTTGTTACGCTATTGTTGAGCAATGTTATCACAAATGAAACGCTCCCGATTGTTCTTGATCGGTCACTTGGTGGCGGGTGGCCGGCAATTCTAGGAAGTACCGCTTTAATTGGTATGCAAACGGGAGAGGCTCCTTTTTTTCGAATATCTAGACTAATAATCGGTCACAGTTGTCTTTGGAGAAGTCGTCCCTCAATCTATCTGCGTCCGTTATGGACTCCCTATTGGCGCATGGATGGCACCGTGTGTCTTAACCCTCATGTACATCATGTCACCAATCGCATGGCCGATCGCGAAGCTCCTCGATAAACTACTTGGCGTCGACCATCGAACCCTGTACAAAAAGGCCGGTTTGAAAACCCTCGTCACGTTGCACAAAACACTGGGAAGTGCAGGAGAACAATTAAACTCCGATGAAGTGACGATCATCAGTGCGGTCCTCGACCTTAAAGAAAAATCCGTCGGCAGTATCATGATCCCTATGGAGGATGTCTTTACCATGTCTACCGATACTGTCTTGGATGAGAGCATGATGGATCTTATACTTTCGCAAGGGTATTCCAGAATACCAATCCATTCGCCAGACAATCCTGAGAATTTCGTGGGTATGCTACTGGTGAAAATGTTGATCACATACGACCCTGAAGATTGCAAGCAAGTCAGAGACTTTGCCCTCGCTACACTTCCAGAAACCCGGGCAGAAACTAGTTGCTTGGATATTGTCAACTTCTTTCAAGAAGGAAAATCACATATGGTGTTGGTGTCAGAGTTTCCTGGTGAAGACCATGGAGCGTTAGGAGTTGTGACTTTGGAAGATGTGATTGAAGAACTGATTGGAGAGTAGGTACTCATTTGCTGTATAGTTTACGGTTTATAATCTAACTGTCGACAGGGAAATCATTGATGAGTCCGATGTTTTTATCGACGTCCATAAAGCTATACGTCGCATGGCGCCGGCTCCAAAAGCCCGGGTTCCAAAAGGACAAATTGTCACAGAACCGCCAGAAGATTTGATTTCGTTACAAAAAACAGACAATGAAGAAGTATCTAGCGGCCAAAGAGTATCAGAATCTAGTTCAAGACTAGATGACCTACAAGTGTCTCGACGCAAGCAGTCTACTACCGAAGTTGGATCTCCACCTCCGCCGACATTCAAACTCCGCAAATCTCACACAGTCGACAGCAACCATGGACCAGAGGCTCCTATCATACAACGAGGCACTACTCCAGAGATCCGCGAACATCTTAAACATTTGGGTCCTTCAAACCTTGCTAGCAGACCCCGTCAAACTCGATATAATAACGTGAAAATCAAGCCTGGCGGCTCAACTCCTTTAATATCTAGCGAGCTGGATTTGAGGCTCCAGTCTCCAGAACCTCAGCGTCGACTGTCAGAATCTACCAGTCTCATTGGCGGACCGGGAGGAAGCAAAGTTATATCAGCAGGCAAAACAGCCAGTGGCGGCGTCAGAGCACTGAGAGCCTATGGAAGCACCACCGATACCCCAACACAACGCGCTAGCACCCAAGATGCCGTACCCACCGTGAGCCGTGGAGTCAACACTCCAAGTGCCCTATTGCATCCAGCACCGCAATATCCAGGCCATCGACAGGATTATTTATCGCCCAACAACGAGCCTTCCTCTAACAGTGGCACGTCAAGTCCAAGTCCGATATCTACACCATATTTTCCGCGGGGTCCAGTACGAAGTGGCAGCATCACGGAGCAAGTGATTGACAGTAACGGCATTCGAAAGGTGATTTTGCAGACGTCAGACAGCCATTCTGCATCGGACGAAGAAGTGAAAAAGCACCAGCGTCCATCTTTGCTTGTCGATAGATCAGACAGCGCCGGACGAATCAAGTCTTCAGTTGACTCTCCCGCTACAGAGAATAGCGAGGATCAATTTGGTCAAGACGAAGGGAATGATGGTACTCAAGATTCCACGAAACAAGATACGAAGAAGAAGAAGAAGCGAAGAAAGAAGAGAAAGCCGGCAGGCTCTAAATCAGGGGATGGAGCAAATGGCGAGAATCAGCCATTGCTCGGATGATAGTGGCAATTCAGCAAGCCTTTTTTACGGTTTTCTTGTTTTCCAGAATGGAAATGTTGGGAGTTACTCTGGGAGCGTGCGACTGAGTGTTTGTATGATGATTTAATTCATTCCTCTGCTTGAGCTGGATGGAATTCGGGCTGTACCTGATACTGGGGCATGGAGGAGATTAGCCGGGCATTTGTTCTTATAGCCTTGTAGTTCTAGCGGTTACTCGAGGCTTTGTTTTACTACTATTACCTGAGAGGAATGGACTTTTTTAATATCATTCAATTTTTGCTCACTATCCGTTTGGAACGATAACTCCTAGATCATGCCGGTGAACAAAGAAGAGTCCTGGTTTAGCGCGAGGACAGCAATGCAGGGATAATAATGGTGCAAGAGAGACTCGAGTGTGATCTGCAAGTAGAAGATGTCATTATTGCATTGATCGAGTGCCAATTGACGTCCTCATTGTGTGCTCGCATCTGATACACGGACAGGCATGCTGGGGGACCAGTCGGCAGTTGAGATGCTGCTGCCCCCTGCTTGGCGGCTGCAACGCTGTGTTTGACGACCAAGACGATCAGCAAAAGCCGCTGGTCGGTGCCATCGCGACAATTCCAGCCTTCACTCTTCATTGTCATCATCATCGCCAGGCGAGCTGTGTTGTCTTTCTGCTGTCCTTCTGCGGGACTCTTTCACTCTCTCAGACTCCCGCCAACAACACGGCGTGCAGCCGGCATTCTCTTCCCCCCGCTCCCCAGTGTTCCCCCTGTCGATTGAGCTAGTGACAAGCATGAAACCGGCGATATCTCCGGTGAACAGCCATTGAGGTCCCAGAATCCTCGTCCATTTCTGCTGTCTCTCTTGACTCTTCAGCACACCTGTCTTTCTGCTGTGCGATACTTTCCAGCTGGCACAATAGCAATTCAGTTGTATTGAAAAATTCCCTCATTTGCCCATTGCTTTTATCGCGTCAACCCACCGGCTGGCCCGAACGGTTGTCGCGCGCGCTCTTTTGATCTCTGGCTTTTTTGCATGTACTTGAATTCCTGGTGAACAGCCTGCATCCCGGCCTCTTTGCCATTCGCCGTCAGCTCGCAGTGACAATTCCACGAGCTCGAAGAAACAGGCCAGGATGGGTTGCTGCGGTGCGCGTCGCAGCGAGGACGACGATCTCGCCCATGTCAAGGCACAGCAGAAATGGGACTACATTGTAAGAGGCGCTTGGTCTTTCCAGGGCTCTTGACGCTGCTAATACCTTTTAGACCTTGTCAGACTTCAGCTCGACTTCCTGCTTCGCTCCTTTTTCCTACATCATTCTCTACCTGACCATCTTCATTTCGATTGCGGTGTACGGAGTTGACACCTTTACCGCGATCAATCTGCTGGCATTCTCGCGTTGGGCGTCTCAAATCAAACCAAGGATCCCCTTTGATATCTCGAAATGGATTTTCGCCGGTTGCATCATCCTTTCCTTCGTACTCCTTGCCTATCGTTGGATCCGTGCCGTTCGGGTCATCAAGTCCGGCGGTGTTGCTCAGAGTTATCTCGATCCGATTGCCGTCCGTATTCAGAGTACGCGAATGGGAAGCAACGGGCAAGGCTATCGCCGATTCTTGGTCTTTGCCGAGTTGACAAAGAGTAAGAAAGGAGCAGACTACGTGGCGTTGTTTACTTACTTCAATTTCGAAGGTGAGATCGATGCGCAGAACGTAAGGGTGACATTTCATTAACTCTCTCTATAGCCTGGCTACGAGTCATCTTCGCGGAAGGCCCTCGTCAAGTCATCAATGGAATAACTCTTTACTCTGTCATGGAGTTGAATCTAATCCCCACAGGGGAGAACGCCGCCCCCGAGGGCACCTCCCCGGTGATACAGTTCTTCAACAACGTCGAGGCATTAGCTGAAAAGGACAAACTCCAGGCCACCATCTTATTTGCCATGCTGTTCACCTTCGTCATCTGGGTCCTGTCGATATTGAGTCTGGCCTTGTCGTCCATAATGTACCTACTCTTTTTGTGGCACCATATCCCGACCGAAGATGGATCTCTCAAGGCTTACTGTCGCCGCAAGATTGACACACGACTCGAACGCATTGTTAAACGAAAAGTCAACAAGGCTCTAGCCAAGGGACTTGCGCTGCAAGACCGGAAAATGGCTGACCTGGAAAGTGGCTCGGAGAGTGTTAAGCGACAACCAACATTGCCCACATTGGACTACATGAGTACAACTTCGGCATCGGACGCGCCACCAATGCCAGGCCTTTCCCGCCAGACCACTGCGACTACTTTGCCTCCATACTCTCGAGCACCTCCCTCCGGATCCGCTGTACAACTGGGATTGGACCGAGAACCAGCGTTGCCTGATATGAAGTGGGAAAATCGTGGCCCGCCGATGGGACCTCCGCCACCAGGGAGCCGGATATCTGATGATACCATATCATTGGTAGATAACGCCAGCGGGTTTGCGAACACCGCACCCTTTGAGCCGTTATCCATCGAACGACACGGGACTCCCTTTTCTGCTGCGAGCGATTTTAGGCCGTTCATGGACCAAGGAAGGCGAACTCCGGGCCCACCGTCTGCGGCTTCATTTGGACGGCCACCTCCAAGGATGAAAACTCCCGGCCCGCGAGAGGGCTATAATTTCGCAAGACCGCCAATGTCAGCTACTCCAGGACCGGAGCGGTCGGTGACAGCCCCAGCCCCAAGTGCAACGCCGCGTCCTGGCTCCTACCGCAACTTTACTCGGCCATGGCCAGCCCCAACCCCAATACAAAACCAACTTCCTAGGCAATCACCTATGCCTCAAACCCTAGATGGATTTTCGTCGCCTCGACGCACCGGGACCGCCCCGTCGTCGGGCGATTCCCTATCCTTCAATCCCAATCATCGATTTTAATCAACCCCTTCTTTCAACCCTCATTTGTACAAAGGGTCTAAAACTTGAGGGAAAAAGCTATCTGGCTCGTGGTTTAAATTTTTGATCGGGTGCATGTGTTCACTGAGATCTATTCACTTTTCACATAAAAACTTGTATCGATCTTTTAACGACCTACAGGCGGATCATGGAGAGGCAGGCTTCTTTTATCTTCCCGCATTTATGACCTGGAAATTTTATCTTCTAAACATTCGCTCATATACCCCCTTTCTATGTTCCTAAAATGTTCAGCTTTTTCCGTCTTCTGCCTCGTTATCAGGCCACTTATGTTTTACGCCTACTGGAACGATGATGAGGCAAGAGGGTCTGGGTTTGGTTGATGTAATGATGGTATTCTATTCATTTTTCTGTTGTTTTACCTTGCTGTCTACCATCTAGTCTGGATACTAATCGGGACGGTGGTTAAATGTAATATATTTGAATTGCATTGTTGCAGGGATGAATGCAAGGCTGGCTGCTCACGGACAGCCATTGAATATTTTCTGGACTGATGCGAAGTACTCTGGAGATGTGGTTATCTCTCTAAGTTGGCATGTTGAAGGAGCTTGGTTTCTGGTTGATTCGTAGCACAGTACGGAGTACCCACGGAGCAACGACATCGCTAGCTAGTTATCAGGGTGGAATCTCAACCCTGTAGACAAGGTATCCTCCAACTCCGGCAACAATGTCCATCTCATGCTCAAGCCACTATTCAGACTCAACATGAAAAGTCTCGTCAGAAGCAGTTAATCTGAAACCGATCAATGGCTCCTGCTGGCCGCAATGCCTCAGACCCCACAACCATAGCTCCTCCTTTGGAACCCCGAAGATGGCCCCCAACAACCGACCCTCACGAATCGGAGCAACCATCGACGTCGGCGCGCACACCTCGTTCTATAACACACAATAGCGGAGCGCTTACGACACCTCCCGCGAACGGGTTCGTACGACGTGAACCTGGTGCCGTCGAAGATGAGCGGCGAGCGCGAACGGTGATGAATGGGGCAGCAGCTAGGCCCGCAGCACCCCGAGAGTTGGCGGCGTCACCGGAGGACGATGGTACCGATCATGTTGGGAGGAGTACGAGAGTGATGAAGAAGCTTGAGTCGCATGGGTTAGAGTCGGATGCGCGACAGGGTGCTGTTCTAAATATGGATGGTGACAGGGATGAAGTCGTGGATGGAGGTGAAGGTGATGCCACAAGGAGATCCGCGACGGTGGTATCAAATGGGGGAATGGATTGTGAGCGAGTGAGAAAAGGGGATATTGATATATTGGATACAGAGACTGCAGGTGAGGGATTCTTTGAAGGCCGTGGATATTATCTGTGACCATGCGCTGAGCCATATTTCCATCGACAAAGGCCGGGAGGGATTGCCTCAATTGAGCGATTACAACCAACGACCAGCCGGCAAGAATTTCCTTTTCGAAACCACAGCAGACCGTATAGGAAAAAGCACCGTGACTTCAACTGATAACACGACTTCGAACGGGGCCGCGGGGCCGCCTCAAAGGACAGCTGTCCAGATTGAAAATTCCACCGTGGCTGGTCCAGCAACAGCGTCAGCAAAGCGCCATCTCTCAGACCGTGTTACACCATCCAGTCCTCGTGCGCGAAGGGACCAGACCTTGAAGCTATCCCCAGCGAAAATCCACGAGCTCACCTCCGCGCCCGACTCGTTATGTTTGCATACGATCCCTACGGATTTCGACCACAAAGTGTCAAATGGTACTACTGCGTTGGCTGGCGAGAATAGTGTGGCGCCTAGTACTCGGGGACAGAGTGAAGATGGTGATAAGTTCGCTGCGGAGGTAAACACTACGACTATGGGCCTCCCTGTGAATGGAAAGACAGGAACGCCAAGCGGGAGCGGACGAAGAGAGAATGGTGGCATCCGCCGAAGAAAATCGGGGAATTTAAAAAATCTTTATCTGGAACCGCCGCCAGAATTCTCGGGGAGCCCACCCAGGTATCAGTCTGGCCGGCAGCGCTCACAAACGGCGAGGGTAGCGTCCACTCCTGGCACCTCGTCGAGGCGGTTACATTCTCCATTTGGAGCGGACCGTCAGTCAGCGGCTTGGGGATCAAAATCGAGAGCAGACCGTCGGGCTCCTGGGCGTTTGAACCTGGAAGATGCCGTCAAACCTGTGCAGCCTTTGACAGATCCGCCATCGCCAGTGCCATCATCCATTCCGCTTCCGCCCTTTTCTATACCTACTTATCTTCAGCTAGAGTTATCGTCAGATCGCCCATCACCGCTTTATATCCATCAGTCTCGCGCCAAAGACTTCCCATATGAGTCGTCCCGCGCGAAGCTTGAAAGGCTCCAAAACTTCTTGTTACTCCCTCCGTCTCTTGAGCAGGTTTTGATATTCGGCACGCTTGCATGCCTTGATTCATGGCTGTATTCCTTTACGATACTGCCATTGCGATTTCTCAAGTCAATATTCATTCTACTTCAGTCATGGGTCATTAACTTGGGCCTCGAAGCGCAATATATATCCTCATTCATCGTCCAGGGGCTTGGGAGAGTCTGGAGGAGAAGGAGAGGCAATATTTCCGCCGCGAAGAGGCGAAAGGTGAAGCGTGATGGTGATGACTCGCACCTCGCGAAAGACACGCCTTCGAGCCCACCATCGCCGGTAGCTGATGATCTCTTTGTAGATCAGGATATGAAAGGCCGTGTAGACGAAAACCAACGCCGGGCGTATCGTCACCGTAGGACGAAGTCCGTTCCCTCAGGATTGCAGCCAGATGACAAGGCAGACATCCTCAAAGGCCTGCTCATGATCTTCACTTGTACCATTCTCTTATATTTTGATGCTAGTCGGATGTATCATTGGATCCGTGGCCAGGCGGCAATCAAATTATACGTTATATATAACGTGTTAGAGGTAGGCCACAGAGTCGTAAAGAGCCTAAACGTCTATATATGCTGACCCAAAGCCAGGTTGGTGATCGACTTTTCTCAGCAATCGGGCAAGACGTCCTCGAATGCTTGTTTTCCCGTGAAGCCTTGGAGCGCAAGCCAGATGGTCGAAGTAAAGTCTTACGTCCATTTGGGCTGTTCATTCTGGCTCTAATCTACACTGTTATCCACGCGACGGCCCTGTTTTACCAGGTGATGACCTTGAACGTCGCAGTTAATTCATACTCGAATGCTTTGATCACATTACTTTTATCAAACCAATTTGTGGAAATCAAGTCCACCGTCTTCAAAAAATTTGAAAAGGAAAACCTTTTCCAGCTAACCTGCGCTGATGTGGTAGAGCGCTTCCAGCTATGGCTCATGCTCATCATCATCGCGTCTAGGAATTTCGTTGAAACGGGCGCCATCACCTTTGGAAACGCGCTGGCTCCGTTCGCTCGAAGTACTCCGACTCCAAGCACGAACAGCACACCTCTTTCGAATCCTCCCAGCTCGACAACCTCTATTCTCCCACAGTCCTTTACTCTATTTCCGTCCTCGATATTCGCCTCTCTTAGCAGCGTGCATTCTTTCCTCCCCACTATCGGACATGTGCTGGGTCCGTTCCTGGTTGTCCTTGGGTCAGAGATGCTTGTTGACTGGCTCAAACACGCATACATTAACAAGTTCAATAATAATCGGCCCTCAATATACGGTCGATTTCTCGATATCCTCACGAAAGATTATTATACGAACGCATTTGCGGATCAGGATTTGAATCGACGCCTGGGTTTGCCTATCATTCCGCTGTCCTGCCTCTTTTTCCGTGTCTCCATCCAAACATACCAAATGTTCTTGACGGCATGGCTTCCTCAACCGCCTTCTCTCACGACAGCGACAAACACAACTTCACTGACTTCGATACATAACCATTACTCCTCCTCCACCACTGCGTCGACTGCCACTCTCCCGTCTTCCTTCCCATTACCAACATCTTTAAGCCAGATTGGAACCATTTTTCAAACCATAATTTCACATACTATGCCATCGCCGGCGGCATTTATCCCCGTCTTCACCGTTATCCTTGTTCTTCTCCTCTACGTCACTCTCCTATTCGTGAAACTAATTTTAGGAATGATACTTCTCAGTTATTCCAGGGCAAGGTATAAGCGGATGAAGCTTCGCGAGAGGGACCTTGTGTATCAACAGCAGAAACAGCAAAGACAAGTCTCGTCCCAAGTCGCTTCTGCATCAATACCTACTGGACAAACGCAACTGCCCAGCCCTCCACCGGATTCTGCGCCACCTTCGTTTTCGATATATGGAAATGTCAATCGCAACTCGACTAGCGATACCGTGGAAGGAAGCCGCCGTGTCGGTGGCTGGGGAGGGGTGGAAGTCGGCGAGGACAGGAGGAGATGGATATATGCTGATGACCCAGAGGCATTACGGAAGCTAAAGGAACGAGAGGAGAGGGATAATAATAAGTCTGGGAAGAGTGGTGGTGGGCTACATGGAATTGAGAATGTTCGAAGGTATGACATGGTTGCCAAACGAATTTGGTGACATATTTTAATTTTCACCGTGTAAATATCCAATTCGTGTACGATTTGCTTCTCAGTGACGATCAAGATCTTTTAGATAATTGATAGAGTATCATTAATCAGATACCTATTTCACATCTGACAGGAAGAATTTTGCCTAGCTGGTCCCGAAAATCAAGATCGTAATGCACCAAACTCCCAACGTTAAACAAAAAAGCTCCTTTTTTACTTCCCATGCGCTGATAGACCTCCTCCCAACTCCCTAAAGGCTCTTCGAAAGATCTCCCTACTTCGATATAGATTCTCTACCCTCAACCGCTCATTGCTTAAGTGCGCATTATCACTCGCCTGTCCACAAGGCAAATGCGCAGCTGGTGCGTTGAACTCCTTTTCCAAGAACCTAATCGTGGGGATAGAGCCTCCCTCACGAATGTAGATCGGCTTGATGGCCTTGGGGGTTGGCTTTCGGGTACTTTCTGCCGTCTCGCTCCCTTGCGGGTGTTGGCATGCGCCCGGTTCGATAGCGTCAGTGGTAAGGGTGGACGATGTTGGTATTGGAGGCAAATGCGGTGACTGCGTTTTCTGGCCGAATTTAGACTTGGGCTTGGGAGCGGACGATGAGGATGTGAGGATACGCTCAATCTTTGACGTTGAGGCGAGGCTGTCGGAGGAATTGGTGCGGGAGAGCTCTGAGTTGGTTAGGTGTCCGGATGAAATAGGTGGGTAGTTGTCGTGTTTCCTGCTCTCGCTGCTGGCTGACCAGACTGCCGTGACGGCGCGTGAAAGCGTTTCAAAGAGTTCGTTATCCGGATCACCGAGCCAGGGGTCTGCTTTACCCGTAATTTCAACGGTGAGGGTATTTTCTGAATCGAGGTCGGCGAATTGTGACTGCGCGTAGTTGATTAGGTCTTCGGCTACTTTGTCTGCATCTTGATTTGGCACTAGTCGAATGGATAGTGTAGCTTTCGCCTTGCGTGATATCGTAGTTGGGGAGCTCTTGCAGCCAGGGATCTCCACGGAGTGAATGGTCAGCGATGGCTCGCGCCAGCGATGCATGAGTGAAGCTGTAAACGACTCGACATCCTCGATTTCTGGATGATGTGGAAGAAGAGCTTCTGCAATTGCATCGTAGCGTTGCTTTTCAATAGCAGTGAGTGGTAATACTGGATCATGGAATCCTGGAAGGTTTATTTTCCCTTTTGGCCCGACTATAGTTCCTAGCAGCATACTCAAGTCCTTGAGTGGCTCATCAAGTAAAGAACTGCCATCGATACCACTATGAAGATCTGGATGATGACTGGAGACGATGAGATTTGCGCGGATAACACCTCTCAGTCCATAGGTGAGACATGGGATATAGTCGTCCAGCCAGTAACTGTTTGCCAGGAGTATCCAGTCGACAGGGCCAATCAACTCTTTGTTCTCTTGAACTGTCTCTGCAAAGCCCTGGGGACCCGGACTCTTCTTCGCCTTCAATCAAGAAAACCACGTTGCAAGTGAGTTCCTTTCGCTGCGCTAGTTCTGCAGCTGCATAGAGGGCAGCTAAAATCGGGCCCTTGTTATCTGATACTCCACGGCCGTAGAGAAAGCCGTTGAGCGAAGTTAGCTGAAACGGATCGGTGTTCCATTTCGCCTGGTTGGCTTCTGCACTGACAACGTCATAATGGCCGTAGAATAAAACGGTCCGATTTAAAGGATTCCGAGAAGAGGCTGGAAATTTCGCCAGCACAATCGGATTTGTATTCTGACCCGTGGTAAGGATGTTGGTTTGAGCACCCAGATAAATGCAGTGTCGACGTAGAAACGCAGCCCCCTGGTTGCACTCTCCAGAGAACTTAGGCCGCGCTGAAATTGTTTTGAATCCAACAAATTTGGCCAAGCTGTTGACCAGCTCATCTAAAAGAACTCAGCATACCCAACAAGTAAGAAACGGGATACGTGTGCGCACCATTACTCGTCGCGGGGATTTCGTGTGAATCGACTGGATGTTCAGTCAAGTCCCAGATCGCAACCGAGTTATCATTCCCCCCAGTCGCATAGATCCATCGATTGTTCACGAAGCCTGCAGCGGATGCAAGCATTGTTCCGTGATGTGCTGTCCAGGAACCGATTTCTTCGAAACGAGAGTTGAATTTCTGATGCCCGTCAAAACCAGTCTTATCCTTCAAAAGTAGCACAAAAGAGAAAATTGAATCCTACCTTGACAATACCATCGGAATCACCGCTTATAATGATACCCTTAATGATATCAATTGCCCAGAGATCCCCGGTGTGGTTCGTGATAGTCTTTATGATCTGACGAGAATCTAGATTCCATATATTGATCGCCCCTCCAGTAAGCCCGCAATATAAGAAGGGGCCATCGACTGCAATTGACAGGACAGATTCGCTGCCATTCTGTAATGAGGCAATTTCAGTCGGTGCAACATTAGACCCTTGATTGAGCTCCCATAGTTTAACGGAACCGTCACCAGACCCCGTGAACAGAATTTCTCCGCCAGACTGACACTCCAATAACCCGCGCACAAGTAGCATGCAGTAAACATAGCCATGATGAGCGAAGAGCCTATGTTGATCTTTCTTGAACGTTAGGGTTTGGCCGTCATACAACGCATCTTGAGGTTGGACATCTTTGCGTGCAGGAGGAGCTATCCCTCCAGGACCTCGGGAGTCAAAGAACTTGTGCGTTCTACATGAAGGATGGGCGGCAATTTGAGGTGGAGGGTGAGCATCTTTAAGAAGATTGCACCACTGTATAATATTAGCGCCGTAATGCGGCTATTGATTGCAATTGTCCGTGGGGAACAAAGGCACTTACTTGAAGGCTAGTATTTTGGCCTCCGCAATAGACCGTCTTCAGCTCTGCCGAATATACGACAGTAAATACGTCTCCCACATCATGATGTGAGTAGATCGAATATAGACGCTCAAAAGTACTTGTTGACCAGACCTTTAGGAATGTCGATAAGCCCAGGGTATAGTGTTAGGTACTAGCGAATAAACTTACGTTGACCACAGAGTCTCCTCCACTAGAGAATAGCAAACTTTTGTCATCAGACAAATAGAGACCTAAAACGCTCTCTTCATGAGCTTTAACTGATAGGACGAGTTCGTAGGTGTCTAGAGACCATGCCTGAAGTTGAAATTAGCGGTGTTATCCACTCTCTGGCCGCAGAGCCACAGCCAAAATGGAAACATACCACAATGTCTCCTCCTTGCAAGCCTGCAAACACACATTCATCGTCTAGGACTAATGCTAGGACGGACCTCACAGCGTGGACACGGTGGCCAACAGCATTCTCATTTTTCAAGTTGGCCAAGTCTAAAGACACAGATTGGCTGGCGGTTGTCGGGGAAAGAGTGACGTCGTTACTGGTCGATGCCCCAGGATCTAAGCCGGCCATGTCAGTAACGTGTATCTATCTGATAGAACGAATTCCTCCCCCGGGTGTCTTCCAAGAAGAGAAAGGGTGGCAGCGGGGAATTTTGCCAAGGCGGAGGAGCCATTTAGCCTTTTTCCGTTCCGCCCCGCTGAGAGCCTTGAACTTCTGTATCTATACTTCTGACACTCGACAAAGTCGAATCAGACCCGCGACTGGCCTTTTTTCCTGGCAGAAATTGAGCCTGCGGCAAGGAGGCGCTTGTTTGCATTTGTGAACGCGTCGGAAAATCCACTCACCAAGCTCGTTGAATTGGCTGCAGTCCATTGCATGCGGTGGCCTTGAGAAAAACACCACAAATCAAACCAAATCAGCAAAAGCGCTTTCGAAAGAATTGCTCGCCTCTCGATAGCTATACTTCTAACCGGTGTGAGAGACTTCGTCCTTTTGTTGGACGGTCATTCAGTCGCCGATGCTGCTATCCTGTTGACTCTCTATCCCTCGGAAGGGAAAAAAAATTGCAGCGGTGACTCACCAGTTTCCTGGTTTCCCCAAGCATAGCCTTATAAGCGGCCCTTGACTGGCCTGGTTCTCCATCTTCATGGAGACAAACTATTTTTTGCCAGAGATGATGTGATGAAATCGAGAAATGACGACATGTAAGGGGAAAACCAACAATCACCCTCGACGGGCGAATTTTAAAGATGAAGAAAGATGGTGGTCCTACCCCGTGGACATTTGAGATATGCATTCCATTTGGCCCAGTAATCTGTTTCTATTCCTGAGGTTACCTGACTGGAAATTTATTCCTTTTGTGACTGGTGACATGCTATCTAGGAGTTGAAAGTTTTCAGGGCAACCCTCGAGTGAACTGTTACACCGGGCAGAAACAAAACGACTTGGGCCATGTGTGCAGGTTGATAAAGCCAATCAGCTGCGGGAGGCCGTCTTGGTTGCGCGGGCGATGCTTGACGGAGTGATTTGACAAACGCGAAATCTAATGCCGAGTTTGTTGACTCGATTGGCTTCCAACTGTCCCAATCTCTTCTCAACAGCGATCTTTCATCCAAATCCACAATATACGCAGCAAAAAAAGGAGGCTGGGGGATCAACGAGGTCAAGAAGCGGTCAAATGCCACCCCTAGTGCTAGTGCAGCTTCGCATGCTTAGTAGAGGCGGTCGAGTGCAGCTGCGCGACTTGGTCCAAGGGGCCCGGGCCGTTTTACGTGGGGACGATGCGACCAACGGTCAGCCGTTCCATTTTCCTATCCTTCGAGCTGATGGCATCTTGAAGAGTGAAGATTGGGGATTCGCGATGCGTTGAAAGTGAGGCAACGCGCCAAGAGCATTCGCAATTACATAACCATAGAATTACATAACCAATGTGTGGCTGTGCGAGCCTGGATTCATGTGGCTGGTGCTGTGTGCTGCGCCACCATCTCCTGACCGCGCAAATCATTGGACGAAAAAGCAAGACAACTCCCAGCCATCTTGAGCGGATGGGCGCGCCGATAGGGTAGCAATTCCCGTGCTCGGACGTCAGGACTTTCATTGTCGAGGCGAGTTTTGGTTTCAGCAGATGGGGACCGCCATGATTTGCTGGCATCCGGTGATTGTTGGGTGTAAACCGATCGGTGCCTGAACCATGACTGGACGGGGGGTGAAGATGCAGCGAAGAGCAAGCATTCTCCCGACGAGGCGAGCTATTTTAGTGGCATCTTCAAAGATTGGGAGGCCAAAGCCTTTGGGCCTCGAAAGTTTCACCACCACCGCCCTTCACCGATTGGTGGCGGCTCGCCCTTCACTCTTTGCTTCGCTTTGACGTCGCTGTCAGTTTCTGCCCCGACCAGACCCATGCTGAGCTGGTCTCTGCGCGACCCGCACTGCAACACGCAGTGCTACGGAGGAAACCGCCCTGGAAAATTATAAACCTACTTTTCTGACACACTTCTGCCACCCATCCTGCTCTGCTTCGGTTTGGCATAATAATGGCTTGCTGAACCTCTCTCTTGTTTTATTAATAACCAGTTTTCTTTGCGTGCCCAACGAGAATCATCAGAGCGAGACAGAAAGCACGGTTGACTGTTGTCCTCAAAATGGCTCCCTTCGGAGAGACGATTGCTGTGATCGACAAGTCTGGAAAGGTTGTTAGCACGGTAAGCCTGGCCACTGAATCTCCCTCCCGACTCTTTGATAACTGATAGCCATCTTCTAGAGCAAGCATCTCTTTGGGGTCTTCAAAGAAGCCAGATCTGCTTATCGAGCTCGAAAGACGGATATCCAGGCCGAACACCGCGCTAAACAGGCTGAGAGGGAGGCCCGCCGGGCGCTGGAAAACTTCAATCTTCATGATAGCCGGTCCACAGCCTCGGGCAGGAGACACCCGTCAAGGTCGAAGTCCGTAGTTCGACATGGCGACCAGTCCAGTCGTCATCATAGACACACACAGAGGTCCTACGAGCAGGACTTACATTCGGTGGCCTCCTCGCGTCGTTCTCGGCATGGACATGGGGAGCTTGCGCGGCGCCACACGTCTGCCGAGATTGCCATCGATCAACCGCCCCATTTAAAACCGGCAGATCGTTCGCAGTCTGAGCCGCATATTGATATGAACTTGGCATACGGCGAATTCCATCCTTCAGCTCTCGAGCGACTTCAACCTCCTGCCCCCGAAGGAGAGCTGGATGGCCTCGTGGGCAAGGTAAAAGGCCTTCTAGTCGAGGTAGACTGCGCTCAGCATTCCGCTGCGGCTACAATTGCCCACTTACAAAAACACCCGGATGCCATGGCTGCTGTTGCTCTTACACTAGCGGAAATCAGCAACCTTATCAAGAAGTTCGCCCCAACAGCGCTCGTGGCATTGCGTAACAGCGCTCCAGCTGTTTTCGCTCTTCTCGCTAGTCCGCAGTTTATGATCGCCGCCGGTGTTGGGCTTGGCGTGACAGTAGTGATGTTCGGCGGTTACAAGATCGTAAAACACATCACTGCTGCAAAGGAGGCCAACGCCATCCAGGAACCACAGCCGGAAATGGACGAAATGTTGGAAATTGACGCTTCTCTGAGTCGTATCGAGACATGGAGGCGTGGCGTGGCCGAGTCTGAAGCAGAAAGCTGCGGTACTTCCGTTGATGGAGAGTTTATCACGCCCACTGCCGCAGCCATGTCTCGTTTGCATCTTCCACAGCGGGTCGCTGATTTGCGCGAACCGGCGGCTCCCACTGAAGTGTCGTCAAGTTACTCCCGACATTCGAGGAGCTCTCGAACCTCGAGGCGATCGAAGGGTTCCAGAAGCGGTGGAGACAAAGATAAGAAGAAGGGAAAAGAGAAGAAAAAGACATCTACCCAACTCAAACTTTTGTTTAAGAAGTTCTAATTACTTTTCCCCTGCTATGACGCGATATACCCAGTTTTGTTCTGGTACAGGCATTTGATGGTTTTGCGGCGAAACCTCATTTCTTCTACATCTCCTTGAGTTCTGGATACTTCAATTTTTAATGACATGTCCTCACGATTCTACCGTTTTTTGGATACTTTCCCTGAGCTTTCTTGATACATATATTATGCTTATCCTCACGGACACACTCCAGTTGCATGTACACTCTGATCAGGATGATAATAACATGCTAAAGTTGCGCTCTGAAGACCGCAAGTCCGATTCCCTGGCGCTGCTCTCGGCCATCAACTGCGTTCAGTGGCTCGGGTATTCGGAACCGTTCCACCGAGTCTTTCCGCGAATTCCCACTAGGTCGCACGTGATCACGGGCCTCCGCTTTTGGCAACGAAGCAATATTGCCGAAGGACGACAGCAGATGCCCGCAACTCAGCACTGATTGACAAGCAGAACAGATCATCGGATTATCTCGCTGCCATGGCTATCCACACTTCTCCAAAGGGCTCCAAACCTCTCTTCAAGCCCGCTGTGATCCTTCACGGAGGCGCTGGAAACATTGAGCGTTCGCGCCTTCCCCCAGAATTGTACGAGCAATATCGACAGTCCATGTTGAAGTATGTACAGTCTACAAACTCCCTTCTGAACGGTCAAGGCGCTGGAAACGGAAAGGCAGAAGGTCAGGACGACAAAGAGTATGCGGGATGCTCCGCTCTTGATGCAGTTGTACACGCCGTCAGTTTGATGGAGGATGATCCGCTATTCAACTGTGGTCGCGGAAGTGTGTTTACTACTGCTGGAACGATCGAAATGGAAGCGTCCGTTATGGTTTGCTCGGTCTTTCCGTCATCATCGTCCGACGTTAAGGAGGCTGATCAGATGCATACTGCTCGGATTAAACGTGGCGCGGGAGTCATGATGGTGAAAAATGTGCGAAATCCCATCCGTTTAGCGAAACAGCTATTACTTCGGACCGGGTACAGCGAAAGCGATGGTAGCGGAGGGAATATGCATCTTCAGCTTTGTGGGCCACATGTGGAGAAGCTAGCGAAAGATTGGGGTTTGGAATTCAAACCAGATGACTGGTTTTGGACGAAGAGGAGATGGGATGAGCATCAGAGGGGCTTGCAAGGGTCGCGAGTGACGGCGACAATTGACCACGATGCCGAGCAGGAATCGATCTCTTGCCTAGCTAGTAGAGGGCTTGGTGATGAACAGAAAAAGTACCTCAGCCAAGGCACCGTGGGCGCCGTTTGCCTTGATCGATGGGGTAATATCGCTGTCGCGACGAGCACGGGTGGTTTGACGAACAAACTCCCTGGCAGAATCGGGGATACGCCGACACTAGGAGCTGGATTTTGGGCAGAGGATTGGGATTTACCCGACCATCTTGGATCGAACCACGATGGTCGTGGCAGTCCCGGCCACCGTCGGGCCGTAGCAATATCCGGTACCGGAAATGGGGATTCATTCCTTCGCATAGCAGCTGCCCGGACGGCCAGTGCCATGACGCGCTTTTTACCCTCACATGTATCTCTTTCTGAGGCCGTCACGTCTATTTCCGGTCCCAATGGCGAGTTGCAGCGTTCAGCCGGAGACAGATGGGGTAAAACGGGAGAAGGAACGGGCGGAATGATTGGAATCGAAGTCGAGTGGGATGACCGTGATAAGGATGCTGACAAACGTGCAAATTTGCGGAAAGGGAAAATCGCATTTGACTTCAATGGTGGCGGCATGTTTCGAGCTTGGATAGAGGAGGGCCCTCATGGAGAGGATCAAGCGCGCATGATGGTGTTCAGGGACGAATACCAATAGACGGAAAATACACACTGAGATATCTTAGAAACATAGAGAGGTGACCCGTGATGAAATCACAACAGCAGCTCTGGAAACCAGAGCAGTTTATATACCAACCTACCATCCCTCCACAACCCTAACTTTCGCCCGAACACCATCTTTCGGTGCAAACGCAACCCCAGTTGAAATCTCCAACTCTTTATTCGGATCTTCCAATTCAAATTCAAACCTGCCCACTAGTGCAGCCAACAAACACGCCATCTCTCCCTTTGCAAATCCACTCCCAATACAACTCCTCGGCCCCTCGAGAAACGTCAGATGCCCATAGTTGCTACTCGCTCCACCAGTGTTTCCTTTGCCAGGACCCATCCACCTATCCGGATTAAACGTCTCTGCGTCTGGGCCCCATAGCTCCGGATGCCGGTTCATGGCTAATATGCCGATTGATATCCTGGTACCTTTAGGAATGAATGTGTTGAGGACGGTGGTGTCACGAGCTGCCTGTCGGACGGTGAATGGCGCGGGCGGGTAGTAGCGGAGGGTTTCGTTACAGACCGCGTTGAGGTATGGAAGCGAGTCGATTTGGGTTGCGCTGACGGTGGTTGGCAGCGTTCCATTCGGGCTAGGGATATTGGAGTGGATTTCGTCGCGAAGTCTGGTTTGCATTTCTGGATGCTTGCAGAGCAAGTGGATGGCGTACTGCAGTGAAGTCGCCGTGGTTTCATGCCCTGCAGCGAGGAATGTCATCACTTGATCGACGAGGGTTTCGTCGGCAAAGACACCGCTTTGCAGGGCAATGGAGATGACATCAATTGCCTCGCTACAGTGATCGTCTTTGAGCCCCTTGCTTTTCTCCTGGAGTAGGCTGCGGGAAAAATCGCGGATTCTGCGCGATGCTTCTTTCGCATTTGCCGCATGTTTCGAAGGCAGAGCTTCGATAAAGGTGGGATCAAGCAAGGAGCCGAGGAATCTAAAAGCCGTAGAAAGAGCAGCGGCCGGGGGCGGGGCGAGGAGCTTTTCGAACTCCCTTGGTAAAAAACTGTCGGGATTCTGAATGCAATCAAAATTGTGGCCTAGGCCACCGAGCCCGATGATGTCCAAAGTGGCTCGTCTCATCCAGGGCCCGACCGTAATCACCTTTTTGTCGTTTGGAAGTGGCTTAATGGCGTCCTCTATCGCTTGCAGCAATTCATTTCCTTTCTTCCAGAATGTGGGATATAAATTTTTGATATGCCGAAAAGAGAATGCTGGGTTAAGATTTCGTCTTTGGACCTAAGGACGATCAGCAGGAGACCTTCACTTCCGATATTAAGGGGAGTTTGCAAGCAGGCTCACTCTATGAACATCGCCCTCGCTTAACAGTAATCCCTCTCCTATGATCTTCTTCAATAGAGCTTGAGTTATATCTGTCTTCTTCCAGTCATAGGCTTTGTGGGTAAGAACATCTGCAACGGCTTTGGGAGTTGTAGGAAGAAGTGTCTCCTGATTGCCAGCTTCGTAGTATCTCAACAAGCCATCATTGGGAACTTGTTGAATCCACCGGCCGATCATTTCGCCTGGTAGGAGAGATTCCAATTCCTCGTGGTGCCCATTCCAGAGGCTTCTGCCCTATTTGAAACCGTTCAATTCCCCAGGTCTCATTGAATCGAGGTCCGTTTGATACTTACTGGTGGGCATGGGATTCTTTTGAACGGTGTGAAGAGTATGGGATATAGAAGGACAAGATAAAACACCTTTGCAAGCCAGGACCCTACATACAGGAAGAGAAAGGTCCATGTGTAAGACTGGAACGAGCTGGATGTTGAAACAAGAAGCACAGTCAGGCAAAGCGAGCCTCCTAACCAGAGCGCCGCATGTGCCATGACGACAGCAAGCGGAAACACAGGCTATACAGACTCGAGGAGGTCGAAACCGTGAACCGCCCGAAGGAGCCAAGGTGTTGAGAGAGGGGTTTTATGGAAATCGAGGGACGGAGATGTGCGGTCAAGCGCATCACTGGTGCTTATATGATGCATGCTGTCGACGTTCCGTGCTGTCTCAAAGTATCCCAGCCTTTCCGGGGAAAGAGTTCGTCGAATACAGCTGTTCGCAAGGGTTGGCGGGCAGCCATGGCTCGCCATTCGTCATGCTAGTTAGCTAACAAGGATGAAAGATTAATACCATCACTTGTTCCTGGAGATGTTGCCGTCACAATTCAAGCAAAATATATCGATGCAACATCGTCCTTCCCAGGCCTCTGAGAGCACAGCCGCGTCGTATTCCAAAAGATGATTCCCTTTCAAACGATCAGCATACCGTAACTAACTAGTTAGTTGACGTGCGGAGTCGAAGAGACACGGAACTCGAGGATGCATGAGGCGTTCCGCCACGCGTTGTCTGCAACCCCAATGAACAGACGAGATAATGGATCAATGACATCTAAAGTGGGCAATTTATTAGCGATTGAGCTAATCCATCAAAGAGGGAGTGAGCTCACTGGTTAACTGCTTTAACTAGTGAGATGGAACCTCGCCGGCCCCCTGGACATGCACAAGCGATTTTGTCTCGAAACCCTCGCCATGAGAGGCCAATATCCTCCGCAATCCAAGATGAACAGGAAATCGTCTCGCGTATATGGCGCGCTTTGCAAATATCCTGCCCGGTTATAATATACCAGTCAACAAACTAAGCACGATACCTAGGAACGGAGAGGGTTACCTGACGCACTGAGAGAACTGCTTCGCAAGACGGAATGAAGGGATACTGGGAGTGAATCGAAGGGCGAATGAAGACATGATACCCTTCAGAATTATCAAAATTGAATTTTTATCTGTGTATGTATTTACATACATATGTGCAGGAGATAATTAGCCCAGTGCTCCCATACAGCTGCATGATTGCCTGAATCGCACAAAAGGCAGCAGCTTTACAATCCCATGCATCCTCCTTACCACCTCCATCACAAGTCAACAAAACAACAAAGAACCAGACCATCCCACATGCCCTACGACATCTATCTCCTCACTTACCCCCTTCCGCCAAACCGCTTCAACGGCTCCAAGGCGCACTGGGGGATCTATATCCCCAACCACCCCACCCCAAACCTCCCGCAGCCCACCCAGGAAACAGAGGACGCCGTCCACCACATCGGCAAAGTCATCCACGTCACCGGCACTCCCTTCACGGGCTACGGTCGAGAATTCAAGCGAAACTACCATCTCGCCAGCACCGGCCGCGGATGGAAGAAATATCCCCTCGCCGTCGTCGACGATAAGCATGTCAGCATCAGAAGCGGCGATGACGATGACGACGGCGGGAAGTTCAGTGTCGATGTCACGCCTCGAGATGAGTTGGAAAGACAGGCGATGCGGGTTGACCCGCCTGGACCGAGTAAAGAGCCGTTGAATCCCGCTGTGGTAACTATGGGCCGCGTTTTTTACTTGAAAAAACATAAACTGATATCTCGCGCTAGGGCAAGAGGTGCCAGGAGTGGATAAGGGATTATGTCTCGTGGTTGATCGAGCGGAAGATACTTACAGATTCAGCGATTCAGGTGCTGGATGATGTTAAGGCAATTGAGCAACAGCAGCAGCAGAACTAACTAGTTAGATGTAGCCTGTGTTATCGGACGGCTCCCCTTTTCTGCCTCTTGTCCATCTACATGACTTGGAGAGACTAAAAGGAGGTTAGCACTTAAATCGATTCCATTTTCCACATAACGAACTGATCATATATGTTTGTCAATAATGTACTGTACAGCCGAAGAGTAGATAAACGCCTTTCGCAAAGGGACTGATATAGCCCATACATACAAACGCCAAAACCAATCGCAAGGCACCTCGACCCGTGATGGTATATAAAAAGCGGAATGGAAAAGGCAAGAAAGAAGAGTTGAGCAGGGCCATCTGAAAGCAATACTTGCTATCATTCACAAGACCTTCACCTCCATCCATTCGCTCGTTCCCACGCCTAGATTCAATCCATTTCGCTCCCACCAGCGACGAACTCGTTCCTCTGCACCCGACACGGCGTCTTCCAGCGCCTCTTCAATATCGCAGGTTTTGAACTCGACGCGCAAGCCACTCCGACGCCACCACTCGAGCACGTCAACATGTCCATTCTTCGTCGCTCCAACAAGCACTTGGTTGTCAAAAATGATCTTCGACCCCTTCAGTCTATACCAGAGTTCCAATACCGGAACATGGCCATGTGTACTTGCAATGCGAGCGACGGATTCACCATGCGAATAGGGGATGCCTGATTCGTCCCACCATACAAGTGACGCTGTCTTACCAGACTGCGCTGCAAGTAGAACTGATTTTCCGATTTTGAGTGGGACGGGGTCAAAGTAAGCCGACGCCTCAGAGGCGCGCTTCCACCAGTCCAGAACAGCGATATGGCCTTCAGCAGAGGCAGACTCGAGAGCTCGCTCGCTGTACCGAAGGGGTAGTCCGGAATTACGCCACCATTCTAGGACATGCACGAACCCGGCACGGGACGCTCCATCGAGCGCATCAGGAAGGTAATCATTCGTCGGCAATTCGGGGCAGTTTCGCCACCACTCTAGAAGAGCTGTGTTACCGTAAACCGCAGACACACGAAGTGGAAGGCTTGATAGCCGCGGCGTTGACCAATACAGGTCAATTCTGGATTGACAGATATAGTCAAGGATGTCAGTTCGGGAGAACTTGAAGATTAAGTGGGCTGCGAGATTGGAAAGGGGTTTCCAGGGAGGAGCAGCCGATATTAGTTGTGTGATTTCGTGCAATGGTTTTCGAAGGATCGTGTGTTCAAGCGAGACGGGCGCAGTTGGGCAATCAGATTTCGGAACGAAGGGCTTCCAATGCTCCGGCATTGGAATTTTTGAATACACTCCAACCGCTGCCGCCGTTTCCCAGTCATTCAACGCCTCAAACACCATCGTCAAGAGCTCCGGCGGAAGGACAGGGCCATGGGGATCTCTGCCGGGAGTACTATTCCTTAGGGTTGTACTTTCGGAGCGATCGTCAGGTATTTCGGGAGTACTTTGTCCAACATCGCAAGACTGTGTATCGATAATGCCCGGCATTACTGCTCCATTTCCAATGCCAATGCTGCCCTCAATTCCGCTTACATTGAACGGCCACCCAAGCCCCTTTCTAATCTCCTCATAAAACATCTCCCGTCCTTCCCACGGCATTTCTACCAGCGTCTCAGGCGGTTCGAACCTTGACAAGACAGGAGGAAGGATTTTAGCCCACGGCCAGAAGGTACGGATCTCATCCAGTTGTCTTCCTGTGATGGGAGACTTCCATTCGAGCTGCATCATTTTAGGCACTAACAAAATGGTTTTGGATACGTCCCATCCACGGAGAATAGTCAGGGTCAGGCTTGAAGTTAAGCCCGAGACCATAGCACCAAGCGTTCCAGCATCCGCCGGGGCAACAATAAAGACGTCTGCCCAGTCAGCAAGGCTCGCCGCTGTAATGTTCATCCATTCTCTCCTATTTCGATATGTTTCGGCTTGCGGGACATCCGGGTAATACAAAAGGTTTTCCACACTGCAAACTGTATCATCTAGGTCCCTATCCGCAATCAAACGAAGCTCGATATCGGGGTCACGGAGTAGAGAACGCATCACCGTATCAGAAAAAGGGGTGCTCGTGGATAAAAGGACGCGATTGTGGTGCCTGCTCGGGGAATTCAATAACCTCATTTGGCCTGCTTTCATTATGTCGTTACCTTGAGAGGCAGGCTGTTTCGTTTTACTCAAGCAAGCGCCACTGCTAACAGCTATATTGCTCGTATTCGCCATCTCCATCCTCGAATCGATCGCCAGAGAAACACTCGTCTGCTGCGTTTGGGGGGCATGGGCACCGGCTTCGTGGGTGATGGGATGGGAGTGATAATCCATGGCCATTTATAAATTAATTGCCTCCGCTTTGAAGCCGCAATTTACTGCGGGAGGTAATGAACTAACCCTCTTGTCGCCCTCCTTTTTCAAGTCTGCTGTCAGCAATCAACCACTTCTCGCCGGGAATTCCGTAAGTTATTGAGGCATCATTGGAGGGCTGGGGGCTGCCGAAGCGAGGCTCGTGCGTTTGATATCCTCTGGCTGCCGTATGCTTGCTTTTTCTGTTGAATCTGATCACCCTGTCGAGCCAACCGCGTGCTGATCCGTGTCTGGGCGTTCTGGCGAGGATGGGTTTGCACGGACCTTGCAGAGGAGGCAGTTCTGATGTCGATATCGCGAAAAGAGAGCTGGCTGGCGTCGGTCCAGTTAAGAATGCGATTCGGAGCTGGTGGTGCCACGTTTTGGACGGAGTTCCTGGTGCTTTTTCCAACTTAGATTAAAGACCTTGCTTCCGTCACAGGGGCTGGGTTTAACTATTAGTTTCTAGGAAAGAATACACAAGGAAGATGCAATACAATGATAAGGAATGAATGTCCGCATGTCCGTCGATGAGAGTCGAAGGCCAAATTTCGAGGTGGAGCCGCGGTGTTGAGTTCACTAGGCAAAGGGGCAACGATGATGTCGATGAAACGGCGGCAAGCAGTCGCAGTGCCGAGAAATCCCCACCGAAACTCAACTTTGATGCCCAGCAAAGAAGAGCGCGAATGGGCATTGAGCAATATCGGGCTGCAGCTGCGGATGGACTACGGCCAGAAGCAAGGAGAGCTGAGGGATAGGGATACGTGGATGACTTTGGACAGAGTCACATAAAATTGGCTGTCTATGCAACTATCTGGATGGTTGAGATATCTGGGCCCTGAATGTGGATATCGAATACAAGCACAAGTTCACTTCCTCGCAAGATTCGAGTGCAATTTGTGCTCCCTCACCCCCAAGCTCACAATTGCACCCAGCACCGCTAGCCCAAGAGTCGTCACAAATACCCCCTTCAAAGCGTCCATATACGCAGCCAACACACCAGGCACCATTTCTTTCGGCAGGTGACGGATTTCATCCAAGCTATTGCGAAGTTTTGGAATCAGCCAGCCCGCATCGTCTCGATCGCCGAATCGTGACCAGAGCCCAGACTTCAAAATGTTTTGAAATACAGAAGACGCAATGGTGATACCGAGTGAACTTCCGGTGCTGCGGAAGGCGTACGATGCCGACGTCACGACTGCCTGGTGTGCATGGGCGACAGCTGAGATGAGGGCTACCAGAGTCGCGGTAAGCATGCCACCGTAGCCCAGTCCGGTGATGAACAGGTACAGGAATGGCGGCCAGGCTGGCGTATTGATCGTGAGCGTGGTGAAAAGCACGGATCCCACGGTGAAAAACAGGACACACGCGTAGTGTAAGAACAAGTAGCGGCCGGTCAGGCGCATCAGGAATCCTAGGCCCAGTGATCCAATGGATGTCCCCACGGCTTGCGCAATGAGGCGCGTTCCAGCCTGCGTTGTCGAGTAGCCCTGAATCTGGAGATATAGAGGGATGTAAAGGAACACGGCGAACAAAGTCATCGTGCAAAACCAATTTGTCAAGCATGCAGAGAGAACGGTTCGGTCCGCAAGAAGTCGGACAGGAATCACTGGTTCAGAGGCCACCTTTTCTTCAATGTAGACGAAAGCCAAAAGGGACACCCCAGACAGTATCAACGAGGCCAGGACCATAGGGTGTGTCCAGGGCTTTTGATTGCCGCCCGTGTTAATACCGAATAAGAACAGGACCAGCGTCAACACCAGTGCTCCCGCTCCAAGGAAGTCAATCCGCTTCCAGCGAGAGACATCGGTCTCTTTGACTGGGATTTTGACCTTCCACCAGACCAGGACTGTCGACACGACGATAAATGGTACCTGGATTAAGAATGCCCATCGCCAGCCCCAAGTATCGTTGATCCAGCCACCAAAGACACCTCCGAGCCCGCTCCCAACGCCGTAGCAGATGTTGCCAATGCCTTGCCACATTCCTCGTGTACGTAGTGGAACCAGATCAGAGGTAACAAAGGTCGCGATGGCAGTCAAACCTCCTCCGCCCATGCCTGCCACCACTCGGCCGAAGATCATAACCCATTCATCCTTTGCAAGGCCGCAGATGAGGTTTCCCACGCCAAACAGGATATTCGACACGACGAGGCCCGTTCGACGGGAGAAGATATCGGTCAGCTTCCCGCTGAGAGGTTGGCATGCGGCGTTGGAGATCAGATAAGCCGAGGCGAGCCATGAAAGCAGAGAGAGCGAGTTGAACGAAGACGAAATCGGCGCCGAGATCGTAGCCACAACGGTCGCGTCTTTGTGATTAGCCCGTCAGTATTCAGATTCAATTCTTGTGAGGTCGTCTGGCGGCTTCCAACTCACCCAGGGCAGCAAAGAACACTCCCACCCAGATACTCGCTTGGATGACCAGCAACTCCTTCAACGTCGGCTCGTCGGCCAAGGGCACATCGGTGTCATTGGGCTGTTCGGTTGGCAGTCCGGTAGCTACGACGCCGCCCTCCACGATCGCATTGTCTCGAAGGAGGGGTGTCGTCTCGGAAGCTGGCGCTGCAGACATATCTGGCCGGGTAATTCACTGATGCTCTCCTTCTAAGCCTTTCCCTCGACTTTCGTCAAATTGTCAGTGGTTGCCGAATTGCAAGACATGGTTGAGACGGTGAGATGCATGAACCCCCCGCGGCAGATCGGTTCGTATTCGCGCTTGAGTGGAGTCGAAGAGGTTGATGGTTGAAAAATCAATGCTCTCAAAGTCTTACTCAAAGTCTGATAGTTCACAAGGCTAGATGGGGATGCAAGTCTAAAGTTTGGCTGAATATATTCAAGCGAAAAAGTTCATTGTGTTGTTTCTTGAACAGTTGGCATGGTATTCTTAGGACCAGCCCTGGAAGGTTGGGTCACACTCCCCCAAGCAATAGGGACCCAGCCCCTTAAGAGACGCCCGCAGTTAACTAGAGCTTTCTGCTCGTCCAGTTCAAACACACTCCTCTTCCCTCTATCTTTTTTCTCATCCTTGATGCCATACACGTCCATTTCCAGAGAAAACTTGCTTATACTCTCTCTCACAACTTGCTCTAATCTCACTCGCAGCTCCGTATCCGTTTCCTTCCTCGTGCTGCCAGCAGTTACTGGAAAATCGCGACGGACTGCTTAAAGCGAATCTTGCCGTTGCGGATAAGCGGCAAGGAGCACGAGCCCAAATGAAAGTGCGTTCGAAGAAGTGTCGAAGCCGGCACCGTTGAAGACGAAGAGGTTACCTATAATCTCATCCTCGGACAACATTAACGATTCTTTGTCTTGTGTTATTAATTCGTTATTTCCAAGTTCAGATGCAGCAATAAGCCGGCGCATGATATTAGTCCTTTTGCCCGGCTCCTGGGCAAGAAAGGTTTGAAACCAGTTAACGAGCTGGCCAAGATAGCTCACCAGTTAACTCGGGACTGGACCGACAAGCAAGGCAATCATGGTTAGAAAAGCCTGGCGGCTGACCAGATGGATGACAGAGAGAAAGGCTTGAACAATAATCACAAAATTATTGCAGTTTTTCGTGCTTAATGAGGCTTCGGATATTCATCGATTGATTAGGCTATCAAGATGCCGGATCGCCCGTTGATCGGAGTTCCGTCGCTCCGAGAATCAAACTTCCGGCCGATGGTTCAGGCCAGCGGAAAGATATCCTCTCCCCGTCACCCCGACAAGCCTTGATATTGTCTCACAGTTGACGCAAAAAAAGACGCCGCTCGATGCTTACGGGATGCTTATATCAGTCACTAGGCACGAGGCCTCCTGAGATGGGTTCAGGATATCGGCGAAAGGTTCAGCTGGAGCCACGAAGTGCTGAGTGGCATCAGTCTCAGCTATCATACCCTGAACAGGGTATATGTGTTTCGCTAATTCAAAAAATGGTTATAAGGTTGGTCATGGCCCGATGAATTGTCAAGCCTGATAGTTGCAACACTCCCATCTGTTAGCTCACATATATTCCTACCTTTGAGACTCTACAAGTTCTACAATGGCATCTCCAATTCCAAAGCTCATGCGAGCCCTTATTCAACCCAATGCGGCCGAAACACGCCTGATCCTTACCCAGTGCGAAGTTCCTGTTCCCGATAAACGAGCCGGCGAGCACTTAATTCGCGTGCATTCCATCGCTCCCTGCGCAGGGGAGTTACTATGGCCAAAGAATTTCCCCCCGCCCAAACCTAGGGAATTGATCCCCTGTTATGACATAGCCGGAACAGTGGTGGCAGCACCAGAATCCTCGCCATTCCGTGTGGGAAACGAAGTATATGCACGTACCAACTACTTTCGACCCGGATGTGCGCGCGATTATGCCATTGGCGTGGTAGATGAGCTCGCCCACCGTCCGCAACACTTGAGCTGGGTGCAGGCGGCGGCAATTCCTCTCTCCTCGCAAACCGCTTGGCAAGCATTGTTTGTCCGCTCAGGGGTGGGAGGCTTTACCAGCGGAGCCTGGAAGGGGAAGCGAGTACTAGTCACTGCAGCATCAGGCGGCGTTGGAATTTGGGTCACGCAGCTAGCAAAACTGGCGGGGGCAACTGTTATCGGTACCTGTGGCCCTGAAAATGTGGAATTGGTGCACTCTCTAGGGGCAGTCGAGGTGATCAACTACCGAACCACGAATTTGCGGGAGTGGGCGCAAGCGCCGGAGAAAAAGGTGGATGTGGTAATCGATTGCATTGGCAGGAAATCTCTGGAAGATGCGTGGTGGGCAGTCAAGACCGGCGGGATCCTGCTCAGCATTTTTCAGCCCCCAGAACAGGTCAAACCCGAGGAATATACAGGGACGGGCGTCAACAGTATTTTCTTCGTGATGTCGCCCAACAGGGCACACCTTGAGGAAATCACCAAGTTAGTAGACGAAGGAAAATGTCGGTCCGTCGTGGATAGTGTTTGGCCATTGGAGCAGTTTGAGGAGGCCTTCAAGCGCTTGGATAGCGGGCATGCCAAGGGCAAAATCATTTTTGATCTGTCACTGAACAACTAGTGGACGTTCAATAGGTGGTTAAGCTGTTAAATATGTGGGCAAGACCAGCTAGATATCAATCATCGTCCAGATTTCACTTTTTGATATTAACGGTGTACTCAGAGATGACATAAGCCGCACTCACCGGGTTTATGTAAAACCGGTGGCCCGGCACCCAGTCGGAAAATTGCTATTCCGAGAATGGAACAAACATTCCAAACAGCCCAGCCGACTTTGATCGCTTTGACAGCGACATCTGTATTTCGGACAGCAAAAGGATTTCAATGCTGACCAGCAATGTTATTTTGGGAAGCATACACATGGGAATTCTAGAATAGGAAATGTCTTATCAATATCGTGTACTTTTGCAGCTTTGTTTGTTGCACGGAAACGTTGGATTGCAGCTGAGCGCCTCCTATTGATTTTCTGACAAGTTCCTCTTGATCAAAACTGCTCTAAAGTTAACGTGAAGATATGTTCAACAACTACAGGGCTAAGCCCGGCTAAACTTTTGCAAGAACTGGATCATTTTCGGAAAGGTGAGGGTTTTTGGACACAAGATGCGCTTGTGCTCCCTTGCTACCCGTCACTGACAGGGCGGACAACCCAAGTGATCAGCCGTTTGTATGTCCGATTCTCCCCAAATCCTCAAATGAGAGCGAACTTCCCATTCTCTCCGCCCAAGGAAGCTCCCTTTTCCGTCCTGGACATCAGATTGCGGGTCGTGTTTGCCCAATGTTGTCGATGCATCTGAGACATGAGGGGTTCAGTCAGGGGATCATCACCGTGCATTCAACGGAGTGTTGCAGTAGCAGCCACTGAGACCAAAATTTTATCCGTTGCGCGAAGTTCCCTCACTCCATAGTCACTCGAGCAGCAAATTCCAGCCAAACGCCATCCGAGCTCAACCGCCAATCGTGTGCATAGCCGTCGACGAGCGCCCTTGTTATCGTCAGCCGAAAGCGTGCGCGATCGAATGCGGTGCGGTGCATCTTCATGTGTACTTCCGGCACCTTTTTTACTCATGACTATTCCGATAAACCCGTAAATAAGCTCTGCTTCGGAACATTTTGGCTTACTGCTAGGATGAGCGAGCTTCCTCGCCACCTTCTGCTTTGTGGTATCGGGCCAAATCGCAAAGCTGATCACACCTGTCTCAGACTTCGGTCAGACTTTTCTCCACGTATATCCAAACGCATCTGATCAGAGTCATTGCACATTATTGATGCTCTGAGACATACATACCTGCGGATCTTCCGATTTTTAGAGTACTCTTTCAGTGAGCGTACTATTGTTTATTTTTAGCAACATGACGTTGAGAATAATCACCACGATGAAGGGCTTTTTCATTGCTAGGCTCAAATGTATACGACATGTTGTTCCTGAAAGATACTACGCTGCCAGTTGCCCAGTTGTACAAGCTGGGAAACCACATCAGCTGGAGACCTGACCCATCTCCCAGGTGATGCTAAATGGAGGTAGTATGCAGCATTCCGAAAGACTGACCGGATATCCCCCTCTTCGTGATGCTTGCGGGCTTCTTCCACACCCGGTTGCAGTCGGAGCTCAAGATACGATTGAGATATTTAAAGGGCCGTCAGTCCTCGACTGACCAGACTCTTTTTTTTTTCATCATCTTACCATCATTTATTCCTTGCAGAGACAGTTATTCCAACTTGCACACAACGCCGGCTCATATATCCACTTCCTCGCTAAGTTATATATACGAACGACTCTCGCTCGCAATACAAAAATGAAGCTCTCCTTCTTCACCGCAATCACAACCGCTCTCCTCGTTCCTTTCAGCTCTGCCGCCGCACTCGCCGGTCCCGTTACCCTCAGCTACGACACGCAATACGATAATGGGGGCCTTGACCTTACCCACGTTGCCTGCTCCGACGGAAGCAACGGGATGATTCGCAAAGGCTACAGAACCGCCGGCAGCCTGCCTAACTTTCCCCACATCGGAGGAGCCTTCACCGTCGAGAAGTGGAACAGCGTCAACTGCGGCAAGTGCTATAAAGTGACCTACAAGGGCAAATCCGTCCATATCCTTGCGATCGATCACAGCAATGCCGGCTTCAATATCGCCAAGAGGTCGATGAACGAATTGACAAACGGGCAAGCAGACCAACTGGGCCGGATTCAAGTGACTTATGAGAACGCTCCCTTGTCGGCGTGCAAGATGTAAGGCCGAATTAGACGAGAGTGTCTATTGCTGGAGCAGGCTGAAATCTTGGGAAGGATAGGGTTGGAAAATTGTGGACGCGAAATGATTCTTTAATATTTGTGGCATCTGTGGCGAGCGATCTATGAAGATTCAGGTAGATTATGATAATAACTAATGTTAATTTTTCAATGCTAGTTTTTTGCTTTGCTTATTCTCAATGAATCAATAGACACTCAAAATACAACGTCCTTTATTTAACGGACTCTTCAAGAGGCGCAGTGTACGGGATACGCAATGTCGCCGGTATATCAGCTTGCTCGGTTGACACTAATATTAGGCCCTAGGCTCTAGTCATTAACTCGCATCGAAATGATCTTCGACAATAGCAAATGCTTTCAATCCGTGGAACAGTTACGGCGTATCTATCATAGTATCGGTTAATCGGCCATGTTCCCCTACTTACCGTCGATATCGCGGAGTCGTAATCAGTACCTTCAAGGCGCCGTTGCGTTCGAACCTCTAACCACCATTCCAATATGGAAGTGTTATTGTCATGCGGCAGTTGATCTCCGGCGCATTGATGATCAGCCATGCTGCTCACTTGTCGGCTGCATGGAGCCAAGCATGGCGTATTCGCCCAAAAAACTAGAGAAAGAAGAAATGAAAAGGCAAGTACCAAGCCCTTTTCATAGCATCTCAAATCATTTCAATCCAATGAATGCGTTCTATCAGCCTTCTTTCGATCCTCTTCGCCTTGTTTTTTGGTCCTAATTACGTTTCACAGCCGAACAACGAAATCCAGGCATGGCTGGCCCGCCCGATACAAATGCGAGAGACATGTGAAAGATTCCGTATCAAGGCCATCTGGTCTCTGCGTGAAATATTATGGCGCGCTGAAGTAGGCTAACCTGGTGTAGATAACACGGACGGAAGACAATCGAGGAAATTGATGGATAACGCCAACATAACGAATATGCCACGCGCTTGTAAGACGTGAAACTACTCATCCCAATAAGTAAGTGTTCGGCATCTCGACTCGGGAAATATCAGTCTCTTATGGGTTGGGGCTATCAAGCATGTCAGCTATTGTGGTATGGTTTGCAAAGTGATTAGATCAATCGTCCAGTCCAGAATGACCCTTGATACAGAGCCCAGAATGGAAAGGCTAATCTAGCTGGCTCCAAGTGTATTGGATATGAAAAACTGAGCTTGAGGATCTCATCGGACAAAGGAATGCAAGGTGAGGAGTGCAATGCGTTCCCTCTTTGCCTTTCTTCAGCATTGCCTGATTAAGTTAGTAAGCCGACCTCATGAACCACATCCCACCCTTGATCTTCATTCCCGCTAACTAACATCATCCTCCAACTCCCAGGCAGCGCAGACGCTTGTCTTCAGCAATATCATTTCCGCCGCGACTTATTGGACCATGCATCTAGGCGATCAGGATCCACCATGCAATTCTCATTGCGACCAGTTCGCGTCAAACCCTGCATTACGCAATGACGATTGTTACTCTGCAGATTTTTTGGCTTTCCTTTGTGCGGAGTGCATCTTATTGCTCCTCATGCGGGCCAATGGACTAGAGCTCAATTGATACCCAGCTCTGCAAGCGCCTCTCTCGAAGCCGTGTCCCAGAATCGGTTCGCCTGCTCCTCGTACCTTTCCTGCTTGGGAGGCATATACCCTAGCGATCATGTCTAGATCAGCCTTGTGTGACTCCCTGATATCCGGCACAAAGCAATGTGCCAATGTATGACTAAGACTCCGGAGCTTATTCAGTACGTTCGCTGCATGTGCTTGCATTTACATATTGCTCTTGCTTTTCAGTAACCATTCCTGGATGCCTCGAGGATTTAATCCATGGTCAACTGTGCTCACTATGCACACTCTATCTGTAATTTTCAATCCTCTGGTAAGAGTTCCTGTGTGGGCATGGTGAACAAGTGTCTGTTTTGCCTAGCCGGCATTTTATGCCTGGCTTGGAGATGCTCACCCCTCAGTGATATGTGACATGAGATAGATCTTTTTGCTCGTGTAGCAATGATACAGAAGCAATCGGAGACTGGCTTGTATTGTGGAACTTGAGCTAGCAAAACTCCCAGGTTTACGAATGTAGATATTCGTACTGGTTCTCTACAATTTGCAATGCTAACAGATATCTATTAGGAGGTGCTCTGTCGCACTGACACCAGCAGGATTTATGAGCGATGCCAGCTACAAATTGATGTTGGGTTCTCATTACCGCAACTTCCTTCTTCCAGGAGCCATTTACGGAACGGACTCACTGTAGTATGCATTTGCATATCTCAAAAATTAATTATGTCGGGGACAACAGCAAGAGGCATACCTTGTTTATACCGGAACTAACAGTTCATGGAAGCTCAAGTGAAACTCGTCTTAGGTACTATCGCAATTCATTCTCACTACCCCTGGCTCTGTGCCGCTGGGACCTATAATGTTACACTGCAATGCAAAATTTTGCGACTGCCGGTTCAGGGCATGGCTCTTTTCTCCTCAAGCTACATAAATTGCGGCAGTTCCTCGCTATCGACTGCCTCCCTAGCAGTGAATTACAAAGGTCGGAGCCTCGAGTTCAGCTTATTCAATCGCATTAATCATGCACCGTCTCAATATTTTTCTCGCCCTGGCCGTTTTGGCTACCTCTGTTGCTGCGGCCCCTCTAGCCTCCCCAGAACCGGACGCTCTCCGTCTCAAGTGTACACCTGAAGAGCATAAGTTTTGTTCAGATTGGGTAAGTTATGCCGGAGTTTGAATCCTTCTAATCAGACCCAATCCGTTTCGTTCTGGCTTAACCCAGTCATAGTGCAAATCACCTCCCGGAGGCCGAAAGAAGGGAGGTCATTGCAGAGAGCAGGGAGGAGGGTATGTTGTTTCTTCCTTTTCAAGTCTGAAATATTCCACCTGCGGACATTGGAAGCAAGTGTTATTGTCAAGCTAATAAAATTATCATTAGCCGGTTGTGCATTTGCACTAACTCACTTGGCCGTCGAGACGGACATTCTCTAGAAGCTAGAGACGACCAACATCGGGATGCGGATGGACACAAACATAGCTTGCGTGATGGCCACGGCCTTGACGACGGGCATGGCCTAGAAGCTAGAGACGACCAACATCGAGATGCTGATGGGCACAAACATAGCCTGCGTGATGGCCTTGACGACGGACATGGCCTAGAAGCTAGAGACGACCAGCATCGAGACGCTGATGGACACAAACATAGCTTGCGTGATGGCCACGGCCTTGACGACGGAAACGGCCTTGACGCACGCGATGACCAGGGGCTCGATGACGGACATGGGCTTGCTGATGGACATTAAGCAACGGATAATTATACGACAGCCAATACCGATAGGTTGAACGGGGCCAAAGACCGCTCCAAGCTATATGAGGCCATCGTCGGTTTCATCGAACTTTGTGTCTCGAATTATGTCATGATGCATTCTAAGTGCCCTCACACATCATAACACTTTTTGAAATGATCTATGTGTTCTCGTCACTTAGCCAGACTTACATTCTCTCTTTTTAGTATGATTAATGATAACATTTGCTTAACTTCATCTGCCTCTCTAGCGGGTTATGCTCAAATGTCTGTTATGCAGGGACCATATGAAAGGACCCATGTGAAA